AGCAACTCTACAGTGACCTATAGTACGACAAAGTACCCTAGAAATTTCCAATCCTCATTTCCTAAATTCTAGACTACTTTTCTACCTTTTTACAAAAACAGTAAGCCCTCTAGACCTGATGACAATTACTAGGGGAATGTGGCAGATGACGGCCGGGGAGGATGATCCCCGCGCAATACCGCCGCCGCCGCCAAGAGGCACCTGGTCCCCAGGCATCGGGATTAGACGTTTTATAATTGGGTGAGATCGGCGTCTTTTGTAAGCGTCAAATGGTACGGTAACCGATCCTCACCTGCAGGCAGTTAAGAAATCGAGCTCGGATACGATTCTCTATCCCCGCGTTTTGAAAAATTGGTTCTTTCGCATTATCGGGGGGGGGACCAACTTTTCGTATAACCCCAGTAATGGATAGTGACGTAATAAGTGTTTTTTTCCTAAGATGTAAATGTTTTAGTAGTGTTTTGAAGAAAAATAACTATATTTGAGTGAAAAAGCAATCCACAAAAAAATTGAGAAACTTTTTAGCTGAAATTTGACCTAATCAGCCATTTTTGGTGGAAAATCGATATTTTTTTGTATTTTTTAACTCAAATCTTGTAAAGTTGTTAGGTTTAAAGCAAACTGGCTAAAGTAGCCCTTTCCTATAAAATTCTCAGTTAAAAATTCGAAAACGCAATCCATACTTAAAGCCGTCTAATGGAGCATCTTGTCCCGATTGCGTCGGCTACGAGGGTCTCCTGTAAACGCGTTTTCTCGTTGTTTTTATTCTTTTATTTGTTTGTGTTTCATATTCTTTTTCTTTCCATTTTTTCCAAAGCTACTGTAGCTTTTAACATTTTAAACCTAGTTTCTGTCTTTGCTTCAGGAATTTTCAGTTTTTTTCGCGGTTTCGTTCTCCTCCACATAGCCATTTCCCAGCAGCGCTTTATAAAATGACGAAAGCGGGTTTTATAGCCCCCTATTTCTGTAGAAAAAGGTCCATAGAATCGTGCGAAAGCTGCATTGAAAAATGGACATTTTCGGAACGTTTTTGCGTATAATTCGTACTTCCAGATAATTTTCCAAACCAGGACCAGCGCTACCAGCGCCAGCATGACCTGATTTTTGTGTTTGTTTCCGCTTTTGGTAAAAAACCCCACGAACCAGCTATCATAGCGCGCAAATTGATGTGTATAGCATCGCTATATAGCATATCCACACCGCGGCGGGACCGCCCCAATTCCGCGGTCGCGAAATCCCGGTGCTGCTGCTGCTCGTTTTTTTTCGCGCTTTGGAGGTCAGAGGATGGGGACGAGGGCCGCCGAGGAACGGATATCCTCCCCTCATTTCCTCCGAAATTCCCCACCCCGAGATCCCTCATATTTATTTTCGTTTACGCGGGGATACGCATCACCCCGGCGACGGCTCCCAGCCGGCGCTATACTTTTTCACGATAATTTACCCCTTGAGCTGGTTAGCTGGCGCTATGCACAGCTGCACCTGGCCATTTTTGGGCAATAATTTCGTAAGATTACTCGTTTTTGTTTTATTGCCACGGATTGGTTGTGTTTCGGTATTTTGGGTAGTTGAAAACGGGGTTACCCATCGCTTTAAAGTCTTGGCCATGCCAAAAAGCCTTTCCGCAACTTTCAAAGATTCAGTTAAAACATCTCCAAATCAGCAACGTTTTTGAAAACCCCAACAGGTTAGAAAAACTTGAAATTTTAGACATTTTTGGGTAGAAATCGAGAGCTGCGAAACGTTTGCTCAAACTTCAAAATTAACGGCCAGGTTCTTTTCCCATTAACGGGGGAGCAAATTTTTTCTAGAAGTCCAGAAATATCTTGTAATAAGTGTTTTAATAGTGCCACTAGTAAAATTTAACGACATTTTAAGCGAAAAAAATACAATAAAAAAATTAGAAAATTTTTGGAGGAGATTTTGGCCGAAAATCTATATTTTGATTTTTTGATAAAAATGTGTAAAGTTTTTACGTCTAGAAATAGTAAAAAAAAAACAGGTTAGAAACCTCGACTCTATTTATATTCCAAAAATTGGATCCTTAGAAAAAATTGTTGCCCGCTGATAATGCGAAAGAACCGCCGAAATTCGCCAATACCTTTATCTGCGAAACTTATTAGCTAACCACCCGAACCCACCTAAAGAGTTCAAATTTGGAAATCTCAGCCTCTTCACAGTCCATTTCCGGCTCATTTCAGGAGCGGGGAGGGACAGCTCGTGCTTTCTTTCCCCCCGCACTCCATTCGCTTCCTCCCCTCGGAACATAAAGAAAGTGCGGAAAGGAGACCACTTGAACCGTACGGTCTGACCATTTCGGGTCGGCGCTCTCGAGACATTGCTAATAGCCCCCCCCCATCCCACTAGGCTGTCGGTCATTTCCTCATTTTTTGCGCTATTGCAAAAACCACATCTTTCTACTGTTCATAGTAACGTACTTAGACTACATGAAGCTCCTCCTATCATAGACGCCGTGCACCTATAATCATATCATTTCCTGGGTTTTAATGCTGAAAAAAGTTTCTTTTCCTGTACATGGTAGCGCGGCGTTCCTATAACTTAGGCTACATCCAGCTCCTTTTAGCACGCAGACTATGCGCGCGCCTTGAATATTCTCATTTTCCGGTTTGGAGTTGCAAAAACCGCAAGTTTCTACTGTACATAGTAGCACTGCGTTTGTAGAACTTGAACTACACGATGCTGCTTTTAGCACGCAGACTCTGCGCGCGCCTGGAACATTCTCCGGATTTTGTGTAATTTTACTGCCATAAAATCTTGAATATAGTTCCGGTTTCGTAGTATCCTGTAATAGCCCTACGTTTCGAAACAGACTACAGACCCTGCTCCTTTCAACGTGCAGTACCTGTGCGCCCCTTGGAAATTCTCACTTCGCTACAGTTTTTGTCCTTTCCTTGTTTTCCGTCTTCTTCGTCACCCTAACCTCTGGTTCCTCTTCAAAATACGCGTTGTTTGCTATAAATTTCGGGCTTTCGGCTCGGCTTGCTTGTCGAGCCGAGAAAATACGGAGTGACTGTGCTGCGGGGGCCGATAACCATCTACTTTGTCCCCCTTCAGCCCTTTTTTGCCGAGGTGGACATCGGGAAGAAAAATGAGAAGAAATGACGTTTCCCTCAACAAGCCAAAACCTTCGCCGATTTCGACACCAAGCGCTTCTGGCAAAACCTCGTGGGACGTTATGGCTCGTCACTGAGTCATTAGATTGGCAATGCATTTCGCGTGGCTGTTTTGTAGGGTTTTCTAGGAAATTCTTGCGCTAGATAACGTTTTTATCGGGGTATAATAGTGGCCGATTATCCATAGAGTTTTCTGGTTTATTTACCTAAAAATGCCGTCAACTAATTACTTTCCTATTCGACTGCTCGTTGATGGGCCCAGAATTTTGCCAGGTATCGTTTTTTCTACATTTTAGGTGTATTTTTGGCCGTGATTCATTCGCGCGGAGAAACCTAACGTTCTCAATCTTTCGATCAACGCTTTAGAATGAAAAATGGCAGTCATAGCACTTTCGCCGTTTTTAGAGACAACGATTGACCCAAATTTTCGAAAAAATTCTTATTTCATGAATTTGCAGCCAAAAATTCAAGATTGCAAATTTAAAGCTATTTTTAGATTTTTAGTAACCGGAAACTGCTAAAAAATACTAGAAATCTAGTTTGTTTTATTACTACTTAAGCCGAATAAGGCAACTTATTGTTAGCCCTACCCCCCTCCCTCCCCCGCAAACGAGCCAGAACCCTATTTTCTCTAATTTTCCCCTCTAGCGACGTTCATCAAGTTTATATCGTCCAAAAACACTTTAGCCGCCAGCTGCTGGTATATGTAAATTTGCCGCGGGGAACGGAAAGCTGGCGGCGCCGGGGGGGATTCAAGGAGCGCCGGTGCCTACGGGACCGGTTCAATCATCGTATCGGCTTTTTCTTTGCACCCGCTCTTCCTTAGACTGTTCCGAATCTCGAGCCTCCGGCCTGAAGGCCATTCACTTTGCGACTTTTTCTTCCACGCATACCAGCCAGCTGTTTTAGCGCTGGTGATTAGGTGTGTTGCAGGGCTGAGCTGCATCAAAACTTGTTTCCAAGCGCGCGCTCTCGCCCCCTCTCGTTTTCAGACCCTGCAAATTCGGGAATTGTTGGTTTAGATCTTGCTGGATTAGTTTTTGTACTCTTTATAAAGCTAAGGAAGTAGGCAAGCAAAAACAAGATCAACCGCGGGCTCGCACAAGCTCTCGCGTTTAGAACCGAAAAATTCGAAAATTTCTGGTTTAGCTTTCTTGGCTTGTATTATGTAGCTTCTAGAAGGCTAAAAAGTAGGCTAGAATCTTCACAAGCAAAAGCTGCTTCAAACTTGTTCTCCCCATCCCCCCTCCAGGCCATTGTCACAGCCATTTGTTTGTCTGTGCCTGCATGTCCACTCAATTCAGCGGCTCTTCCACATCCGCTATTACACAGCGCAGCGCATTTCATCCGTCTCGTGCCGTTCGCACCTTAAAAATGTTTAATATATATTTTTGCAGTCTCCGCGCTCACCGCCGATTTCGACGGCGGAAACGAGGACCGGGACGAGGAGAAGCAGGAAGATAATAATAGGTATCAATTTTTGGGGTTTTAAAGTTTGTAGAATATATGTAAAACACGTTTTTTTGAGACTACGATAAGCTTTTGGCCGTAAATTACCTGCGCCATACTTTCAAAATGATGATGGGGAGTTTCTGTAAAATAGAAGGAATTCTACCTAGAAGAAATTTCATTTTCACGCGACGCGCTGCTGTTTTGTGTTTATGCTTCTGCTGATTTCCGACTATACCGGAGTACTTTCCAAAACCGCCGCCTTTTATTATCGGCAAGCCTCTAGTCGCCCACGCTGATAATGACGCATCAACAAACAAATCGCCTCGCCCTTCAAATACCCTGAAACTATAGAATTTCCTTGGAACCCCGGCTACTATGGCCCCACAAATTCCCAGACATCATCGTAAATTCAGAAAAATGGTTCGCTCGGCTCACCGGCCCAAGGACTCCTCGCCACGCCCGTATGTCATCAGGTTCGAATTTTTTTGGCTTAGGGTTTTGGCCTTTACGGTTTTTGTGATGGTTACAATCAACTATAATAAAAAAGTAGTGGTGTCTGTCTGTCTGTCTGTCTGTCCGTCATGTCCCGAATTCAACTCGAAGGGGAAAGGAGCTAGAGCTTAGCTCTCTTCGGATTCGGATAGAGCGCCCTCAGAAACCCCCAAACTGATAAAAAAATTATGAAAAAGTTTTAGTTTAAATTATTAAAATTAACTTTGAAAGTTTTTTCCTTAGTAAAAGGGGTGGGGGACGGAGGTTCGGGGGATTTTGGACATAGTGAGCTAGGTGGCGCGCGTTTCGTGGATGAAAATTTTCACGGGGGATTTCATTTCTTTTTTTCTCTCATTCCATCCTGTCGGTCGTTATTTTCGTTTTTTAAAAGGATTTCGGCTAGGGGAGGTATCTAATGCCATCAGGAAGGTATCGAAGTAGTTTTTGAAGGGGACTTCGGCTATGGGGGGTATCTAAAGCCATCAGGAAGGTATTTAGGTAGTTTTTGAAGGGGATTTCGGCTATGGGGGGGGTAGCTGAAGCCGTTAGCGTGGGTATTGTTGTAGGTGGGGAAGGATGTGGTGGAGTAGGACATGTAGGGTAGCCCGAAGGCCAGATGGTTGCAGTCGCGAAGCGACTGTAACCATCTGGTTTTTATAGAGAAAGCCTGCCCTGTCTCCTCGATGAGAGCACCAGCATCTCCAGCGCCGATGAAGCTCTAGAATGTTCCCCGGGACCGTCTTGTTCGATCTGGACGAGAGTGCGGGCTGAGGGTACACACTTCTTGGAAGACATTGTTGAAGCATTCGAGGTAAAATTTGCTCTTCAAAAAATCTGGTTTTTAGAGCCCACAAAAAGACCACGACATGAGCGCGGACAACACACGGTTGAGTGCCGTCCAGCTGAGACGGGATATCAGGAGATGCTGTGAGTTTTTAAAAATAAAAGCGAGTATTTGCTTTTATATCTGTCCAATGCAATTTGTGGTTGTTTATTTTCGAAATATGTATGATTTTAGACGCCGCCAGCCATCCATTCATCCAATGCGCAGCAGCCCTCTACGATCTGCTACTTTGGAAGAATCCTCTAGCCACGCTGCTTCTGATGCTAGTCAGTTTCTGAGTGTAGAAATTAAATTCGGGGTTTTCAGGTCTTTTTCTACTCCCTCTACCGCGGCTGGCTCGCCTCGCTGCTGATCGCGCTCTTCTGGCTGCAGTTGAGCCTCAACTACCTGAAGTCGAATAAGTGAACGCTTTTTCAGTACCTAATTTTGGCGGTCTTTTAGAAACATCGACATCGGCCTCAACTTCCTGCCCAGAAAAGATATCCCGATGCCAAAATTTGACATCACCGGCGCCCAGGTGATCTACGAGGTGGCCAAGGTCGGGCAGCGACTGTTGAGTTTGGCAGCAGGGTTCTTGGAAAAGCTCGAAGCGTAAGTCCATTTTTTGTTGCCTCCAATCCATGGTTTAGGCTGTTGACCTGGCGAGATCCCGAGGTGACCAAGATCTTCTACGGGCTTCTCGTTTACTGGCTCGCCTGGTCGCTCGCCTTCACGACTGGAACGTGCATTGGATGGTGTGGTACGTGTTGAAAAATATTTTCTATTTTGTTAGCTATATTTTCTTACATTTTTTTTTTGTATTTTTTTGCTACGTTTACCATTTCACCTTTAGTGGCCGCACTCGGCGTACGAATTTTTCTGACGACATTCCTGTTCAAGAAATTCCCGCTGCTTCGCTATCGGCTTGACACCTATGGGTAGGTTTTCTGATAGCGATTTTTGAGTAGTCTTTTCAGCTACTTCTACCGCAACCTGCCGCTCAAGCAAAAATCGCTGCGACCAGCGATAAGCGAACACAAGTCGATCCCGAAGATTTTCACGGAAAGCCCGGTTAGCTTAAGCTCTAGAACTTATTAAATCAACTTTTTTAGTCGGCCGCCGGCAGCCTGCACTCCCTACAATCGCGGCTTCACACCCCGCGCCGCTCCATCTGCAACGGCGAGATATTCCAGTCGAAAATGGGCAGCAATTTTGACCTGAATCAGCTGTCAACGGTCAATGTTCGTATTTTTGCACTTTTTTGTATTTTCATTTAATTTCGATAATTATCCCCTTCCCTAACACTACGCCCATTTCCCCCTTTGTTTCCAGACGTTAACAGCTTCGCAAAGTACCCGCAGCTTCTGCGTGAGTTTCGCATGCCACATCTTTTTTAGCATTTCGCCGAACGTACTAAAGGCATGAGAAACTTACAAATAGTGTTAAAATCATTAATACTCATTAGATCCTTTTTGAATGTCGTGTTCAGGTGCTGGAGCCGGGCCTGAGGAAGAAGTCTTCTATCTCTCCAATGCCGAGCCCGCAGGCACCGTCGAAGCCCGTGATTTTCCATGCTTCTTCGGAAGACGCCGGACTCAGCTCGCTTGAGGTATCGGAGTTATAGAGATGTAGCGAAAAAAAATCAGAATTTGGAAAATTCAGGGTATCGAAATTTCGGAATTTTGCACGGCAATATCGAGGTTTTTCAAGAACCAGGTTTTTCGGGAATTTCGCCAAATAATGTCCCAAAATTGCTAAATTACGATTTCGACACGCGGCAATTTTGGCTCTGTATCTATGTTTTTAATTCCAGGATGATGACAGCCTGAGCAACGGCAGCGACCCGATGCTGGACAATGTGATCGCATGTAAGCGAATTTTATTGGGTACGAAACACACCTTTTTGCAGTCCGGAGCTGCGTCCTTAACGACAAGGAGAAGCGTTTCCCGAAGGGCATCAGCCAGGGCATCCTCTACCTGACCGATCGGTGGGTTTTTAGGACCCGCTTCAATGAGGGACCATTTTAGGGCGCTGGTGTTCAAGCAAAAGGGAAAAGCCGAGCATCCGGCGCCCCTGCTCGTCGTCGAGGACATCAAGTCGGTCAGAAAGGTCTGTACGCTACGCTACGCGCCTAGTAACACCCACATTTTAGATTTCGATCCTCCGAACCCTGTCGCTGCTGGCCGGCACCAGGAAATCGATCGAGATTGTCGTCTCGGGCCGCAGCAAGCCCGTACAATTTATCGGTAAGACAGTTTGATATACCGTAAGGAAACGAAAATTTCAGGCGTCGCAAAACGGGACGACTTTGTGATGCGGCTGGAAGTCGTCTGCCGGACCCGGAACTCGTCGACAATTTTCCACGACGAGTAGCCGTGGTGTACAAAGGAATTGCATGTTTTTTTTTGTTAGTCTGTGCTATACGGTTACGGTAGATAAATGATCTCTTGCTTCATAAAATTTGTAAGCCATCGGGTTAATGCGGAAAATTTACGGAAAATGTTAGAAAATCAGCAAAAAAGTTAGAAAGTCAGTAAAAAGTTGCAGAACCGAGAAAAATGTTAGAAAATCATCTTTATTTCACATGTCAAAGTGCAAAAAATTGTCGTGAATGACGTAGACGAGATCCGTGTCGACCGGGTTACGGTACGGGCGATCGTATAGGGTGGTGGCGTAGAATTCTCGGCGTCTCTGGGTGCACTTTTCGAGCAGTGGGAGCATGGTATAGAATCCGGTCGTCGTGTCGGTGAAGTGGACGTGCAGCCGGGCTGATAGCGGTAGGTTTGCTGAATCTAAAGTAGTTTTTGTGCTGCGTCGCGGTCCCGTGGCGGCTAGTTTCATTTGCACCAACCTATGACTTCATTAAGAAGCCGAAGCGTTGCGCCCAGACTTCGCCCAAATACCGGCGCCAATCTCCAATCTCTATCACCGACAGTTGGTATCAATAGGCACATTGCTGAAGCCTAAAAGATGCTGGGGGAGGGTTACTTTAGCAAAATTACCTCCCCATCACATTCGAGTAGAATTCCGCCCTTTAGAAAGTCTAATTTTAAAAGTTGAGTCCATAATTTGCGACGATTACGGCCAGTTACCTTAAAAAACAGTTTCTTTCAATCTCTCTCTCTCCCTCTCTCTCTCTTTGGCTAACTTTCTCTCTCAACACCTGCGTTCGTTCGCTCTCTTTCGATTCGTTTCGTTCTTCGCTTTCACTCACTCACTCACTCACTCACTCTATCTCTCTCTCTCGCTCTCTCGCTCTATCTCCAACCCACCATAGTATCCAATCGTAACAACGCCTCCCGACCCTTCTTATCAAGTCTCTGGATCTCGACGAATTCTCCAGAACCCGACGCTTGGCACATTGCCAACACCGACGAACAAGTCGCCTAAAATATTCCAAAATTACCGTATACCACCCGGAGACAGAACCTTCAACTCCGCAGGGCTACAATACATTTCATACTGTACCGGCCCTCGATGTGGCCAGCCCAGCTTCAAATAGCGCTCGAGGTGCTCGGGGACTCAAATTAGTGGTTTTGAACTTTAAAGGGATTGGCAAGGTAAAACGGGCTAGATATTCACTTACTGGCCCTCATGGCTCGAGTCAGGTTGGGTGGAACGGAGCGGACCATCGTGTAGTCCCACAATCCACGCCCCACGCCACGCCTCTGCGCTTCGGGGAGCTGAAAAAGCGGGCTTTAAAGCGGGTGTGACAGCAAGAACCTAGAAATGCCGCTAAAATACACTAAAACTACCGTACATACCCACCACATTATAGGCATCCATGGCAGCCATCCCATCGAATTCCGACCACAAAAAACAGCCGAGGAATTTGTCGGCTGAATTTTTTTTCAAGTTGGGTTGAACGCAACGCAGCGGTCGCGTCGCGGTTGAGCGCAACGTGACCGTGACGCGTGAAACACCGAAATTTCAGCAAAAAACGGACTTTTCCCATCCAGCGCGGCCGCTAGTCTTGCTCCTTCCCATTTTGGGTAGAGGGCCATCGCAGATTTGCCGTAGGCAACCCAGCCTTCCTGAAACAGAGAGAGAGAGAGAGAGAGAGAGCAGAAAAGGGGTATTTCTCTGTTAACAGGGAACCAAAATTTAATAAATCTTCGACCCAGGGCAAACGAGCAGAGACGTTTTGCGGAATTTGCGCGGTTCCAAAGCTAGAAAAAAGAACCTAGTGAAAACAAAAAGCCCCCAAAAATCCAGAAAGGCCGACATGGAAGGCAAACGAGCCGAGACCATTTGCGGAGTCGGCGTTTTGTCAGAAACGGAGCAAGAGGCCGAAAAAATGCTCAAAAATCCCCGGGCCAACGAGCAGGGACCGTTTGCGGAAATGAGTGAGGGAAGAGAGAGATAGAGAAAAAATTATAGAAACTCCCAGAACCAGGCCAAACGAGCAGAGACCATTTGCGGAGTTTTCCGAAACCTGAAAGCTAGCAAAAAGGACGTAGGGGAGCCACAAAAAGGGTTCCTAAAATAGAAAAGCCGAACCTGAAGGCAAACGAGCAGAGACCCTTTGCCGAAATCAGAGCGAGAGAGAGAGAGAGAGAGAGAGAGAGAGAGAGAGAGATAAACTCACATAGCTGCCGGATTCGGAGTGTCCAATCAAGTGCATGGCAATGTAGAGAGTGGGTGTCCCGATCAGAGCCCCAACCGCACAAATGATCGGATCGGCACGGGCGGTACGGCACAAGCGGAAACACAGGCGGCCCGTTCGGAGCAGCTGAAAAAAAGGAGCATCGATTTTTCAATGAAAAAAAAAACATTTTTCGAGTCGCTATTGATTAATTACGGCATTAAAAAAATGGGAAAATCGAAAAGAGTAGCTTACGCCATGAAAATAGCTAAACTAAATCACAAAAAAAGCATTACGCCATGAAAAAAGCATTTTTCGAGCGGCTATTGATTAATTACGGCATTAAAAAATGGGAAAAGCTACAAATAATCGATTACGCCATGAAATGAGTCGATTACTATAGCAAATTTGCCCAAAAAGAACCGATTAGGCTAGGAAACTCCCTTAAAAGCTAAAAAAATCGTTTGCGTCATGAAAATCTGCTTTTTCCGAGGCGCTATTGATTAATTAAGCCATTAAAAAATGGGGGAATCTAAAAATAATCGATTACGCTAGGAGAATCCCCTTCTAAACTACAAATAAATCGATTAGGCCATGAAAATGAACTTTTTAATCGATTACGAGACGAAACAGGACTAAAATACTACAAAAGAATCGATTACGCAACGGAAATCAACTTTTTCGGGCTACGAATAATCGATTACGCCACGAAAATCGATACCTCAGAGAGCAGCGACCCTGCACAAACACCGACGATCCCGCCGGCGATGGTGACCGTGCCGAACTTGAGCGCGATGCTGAAAAAAGCGGAAAATTAAAGCAGCAAATTTAAACACAATTTTAAAATTTACTCAAAAAATGAATCATTTTAATTAGAACATCAAATCAAGCGTAATTTCGACGAAACGGTGTATTTCTGAAATACAAAATGTAAAAAAAAAAAATTAGGTCTAAAATTAAAATTAATTAAATAAAAAAATTAAAAACGCACCATGATCCAAAAAAAACCGAAATTATTTTAATTTCCAAGTTTGTCTAATTAAAAATTTCAAAATTTCAAACGATAAATTCCATTTAATTAAAGCCCACTCTTTTTTGTAGGTGTCGGCCAGCGAGTCGGTCGAGTTGAGCCCGAGCTCGTGGGCCTTCGCGTGGCTCATCGCCGTCGGCACCCACCTGCAAAAAAAATTGGTAAAGCTATTAAGAAAGCGAAAAACACGCGTTTTTACTTTTTTTTAAACGTATTGAAACTGATTAAAAAAAGCACAGGACGTGAAATCCTAAAATCTACTTAAATTTAATTTTTAATTATTAACTACTCTACTTATTAAATAGACTTACAAATGTTTCATAGTTTTCATCTTCTTAAATTAATTTTTTAAGCTAGAAAAAATCGAAAAATAAAAAAATAGATTCTTAGAAAACAGTTTTTGCAGTCTAAAAATTAAATATTATTAAAACATTGACAAAAATATTCTAGAAGCTAAAACTGACAAAATTTAAGCATTTTTTTAATTAATTTTTGACTTTTTTAATTTTTGAGAATCAATAAACCATACAATCAAAATTAGTTTAAAAATTAAAACATAAAAACGCACCACGACAGCGTGCCGGTGACAAACACCAGCGCCGTGTAGCCGAACGTCGAGAACAGGTAGGTGGGGCTAAAAAAATGGAAATTTCGCGAAAGTTGCTGAACTCCTACTTTTTGACGAGCGTCTTCAGGTCGTTCAGGTAGCCGAGCAGATTGCCGCCCTCCTCCGGCGGCTCGACAACGGAGAGCGTGTGCTCGGCCAGCGTTTTCTCGGCTTTTGCCTGAAAAAAAGGGGATTTTAGCTCTTAGTCAGAGACTAGCTCACCCCCTCATCGGCCAACCCGCGCTCCGGCTCGAAGACGAACAGCACGATCAGAATCACGCAGATGGCACCTGAAAAGCCAATTATACCAGCGCTGACCCCGGGATGAAAATCCCACATAGCGGCTTTTCAAACCTGGTGACAATTGCAAAAAGAAAAAAGAAATCCGCATACCGAAAAAGGGCGTCAACCGCATGCCCCATTCCCAGCGGCCAAACGCCGCGCTCAACTGAGCCCCGATCACGTAGCCGATACCGCTGGAAACAGAAAAATTGGCCAAGTAAAGTCGCAAGAAAGGCGAAGAAGCCTCATCTTTTTAGATTACCGAGCGTAAAAATCCAAGAATCGAAAATTCGGCAGAAATTTTTCCTATTTTCCTAAATTTTCCAAAGTTCCTTTTTTCGGGCCTAAAATTTTGCAAAAAAGGGGGGAAACATCGTTTTTAAAACTTTCGAAAAGCTGGAAAAATTTATTACTACAAACGACAGCTCCTGAACACACGGTTTTGACGATTTTGAGGGCCCAAAATCAAATTTTTCAAAAATTCGATTTTCTGGCCTAAAATTTCGCAAAAACTTTAAAAATTACTTTTTTGAAGCTTTCGAAAGGCTTGCAAGCTTGATCTCTAGAAAATACTGCTATTTATCGCAATTTACAGCGTTTTTAGCATCGAAAAATCCAAAATTCCTGAAAAATGTGATTTTTTGGCCCAAAAAACCCGCGAAAAACGATAAAACTAGCTTTGAAAAGCACTAGAAAAACGGGAAACTTTCTCAAAGCAAACTAAAGCTTTTGAAAGCGGTTCTTAGTATCTAGGAAAGTCGAAAGACACAAAAATCTATATAAAACGCAAAAATTTTCTAAAAATCCGACTTTTTGGGTCAAAATTTTGTAAAAATCAGATTTTTTGGGGGCTAAAATCGACGAAAATCTGTACCTTCCGAAGGGGATGGCAAAGTAGAAGAGCATCAGCATCCGCGAGCGCGTCTTGCCGCTGTAGAGATCGCCAATCAGGGAGGGGGAGACGACGGCGTACGAGGCTTCTCCCACCCCGACGATGCCGCGCATCAGCAGGAATAGCCAGAATTTCTGAAAAATTCGCTTTTTAAGGCCCAAAAAAAGACGGATTTTTTGTATTATCGAGGGGGGGGCTAATTTTAGTGTTTTTAGTACAACTAACACTATTTATAATGGAAACAGTAGCTCAAAAACCTTATAAATGAGAAATTTTGACGAAAATTGATCGTTTTTGGGCGAAAAATCGATAATTTTGTATTTTATGATTTATTTATCATCATTTTCGTATTTTATTTTTAATATAATTAACACTATTTAAAGCGAAAACAGTAGCTCAAAAACTTTAAAAATTTCCAAAAACTCGAAATTTTCGCGAAAAATGGCCATTTTTGGGCGCAAAATCGATGTTTTTGTATTTTTATCACCTATTTACTATTCATTGATCCCCCCGCTAATGCAAAAGCTCCCAAAAATCGAATAAAACCGTACATCAGCCGGGACGAACGTCGACGCGAAGACGGCCATCACCCACACCAGAATCCCGGCCACCATGATCCACTTGCGGTTGTAGCTGCAAAGAGGAAACCCATGAGAAAGCTTTCAAAAAAAAGCTCACCGATCCCCCAAATAGCCGCACGCCGGGCTGAACAGCATGGAGAAGATGATGAACACCGTCTGCAGCAGCCCGGCCATGTCGTTGTCGATGCTGTAGAAGTGCTGGATGTCCGTCAGCACGCCTGCAAACAAGCGCTTCCCCTTTTCAAATTTTAGAAAAGTTTTGCCAGCTCGAAAAAGCGCGCAAAAGCCCCCGAAGATGATTTTTGAGATGCAAAAACGCAAGCAAAAACAGAGTTAAGCTTCGTTTTGGCCGTATCCGTTTCTAAACTACAAAATAAAGCCTAATTCGAACCTTACTAGGATATTTTTGTTTATAAAAGCTAGTTATTATTACTTCTACAAAGGCGACTGCGGGGGCGGGGGTCATTGCCTATTCGACGACCCAGTGACCGTACCCGGCTTCACCGTACATTTTGTTCGTACATAGGCGCGTCGCGGAGCATGGTTTCCCCCAGCTCCCGGATTTTCTTCGCGCCATTTTTGGGCCTAAATTTTCGTTTTTTTTGGGGCAATTCATATAATTCGACCGCTCGACCGCTCGACCGCTCGACCACTCGACCACTCGACCGCTCGACCGCTTTTTCGGCTAACCGTTTAAATAAGCTTTATTAAAGCTAATATTACAAAATTAAGCTTTTTATTATTAAAATATACTTTAATTAGTATTTTAACGTATCAGGGAGTACTTTATCGTGAAACCTGGCTTGTAGGGGCCCCAATACGCTTGCATCGGCGCTTTATCGCTCAGTTTTACCCTCGCTTTCATATATTAATAGATTTAGTATCGAAAAAACGGCGCTACTTCGGAATAGGGGACCCACTTTGATTACTCTAAAAACCATTTTTTCTGGTGTAGTTTTGCGCGTTTGTTCCGAAAAACGGTGTCCCAGCCCGTAAAAACGTACATTTGTACAAAAATATTTTATCTTTATAGGATGTCGTTAGGACGTAAGACGGGATGTCTTGGCTTGGCCAGCGCACTTGCTAGGCTACCCACTTGGGATACTATATTTCTGGCTTGAACTTGACTTGACTGGAACACACATGCGCTAAGTATATGCTAAGTATTGGAACACACACGTTTCCGTGTTTTAATAACAGCTTATCGCTACCTTACTTTACGTGACAGGGGCGGAGAGCCGGCCTAGTTTACAGGTGGGCTCTACTTAGGTTAACGTAAGTCAGGGTCGCCTAGGCTTCGTCCCAATGAATCTAAGATCGGGCTTACTAGCATTTAGCATTATTTATGCATACGTTTAAGGTTCAAAAACGGAGCCAGGAGTGTATTGTAGCCAAAAGTCGAGCCTGCGCCGCTAGGTTCCCTAGCAGCCCATTAAACTGTAATCAAATTTTTCTGTGTGAAAATGTTAGGTTTTAAAGTTAGTATGGTGTTTATTCGGAACCAGCGCGCAAAACTATCCAGGAAAACATCGCACAAACCCCAGCCTTGGTATAATAAAAGTGGGTCCCCTATTCCGAAATAGCGCCGAAAAAACTTTATTTAAAGCATATTCAACATTTTAGTAAGTTCTACGAGCGAGTTCTTTTCATTTGGAGCATTATTTACTAAAATCGCGTTTTCGTCGTATATTTCAGGCCTTTCCATTGTTAGATTTATCTATTGCTGGGGTAATAATTTTTAGTAGTAATTTCGGTAGTAGTACTTAAGGGAGGCAATACTTCATGTGGCAGATATTCAGATGCTAGTGCGTTAGTATATGTATACGTTAGTACTCTCTACCGCTTTTTCTTGCACCTTATAACAGTTCTGGTTAATGTATCACAGGCCCTTGAATTTAAAGTCAGTGAGTGTAATTTCAAAGTATATTAGCTATCGAGTCGGCTCTTTCACGTTGAATAATTCTCTATCGACGCCGAACGGATGACCAAGAGTGAATCGTCAGCATCATCTTGAAATCATCAATAGACGACAGTCAATGATAGTCGTGATACCTGCGGCATTAACAGCAATGGTTGCGTGCGAAACGGCTTCTCGGTCAATGCGTAACTATATTTTGTTAGCCAGCAAAACTGACTTCATTACTTAAGTGCTTGAGCAAAGCTAAGCTCAGGCGTGGCTTTTACATGATCTTAAAGCTCTGGCAAACAGCTTCTGGGTACTAATGCAATTGAAGGGGGGGCAGTCCGGAATTGGTGATAGAGGCGTGTAAACTATTTCTTGCTGCTATTTGCTTAAGTCTGGGCTTAACTTAGCTTTAACTAGGCTTAGCTAAAGCCCATAATGCAGCTTAAGCCTAACCCAGGCTTAACTTCATATTTAAATAGCTTTTAGAGGTCGAATGGGGTGATTAGGGCTTAACCTCGCTCAAGCTAAGCCAGGGCTTCGTTTGTATGAAGTTAAGACTACGTTTCGGCGTAGATTACAGCTTTGTTAGCTTTTCCAAGCTTAGAGTTATAAAAAACGGCGTTGAAGCGTCTTGTAGTCAAAATCCTGTCCGCCGTCCAAGCGCATAAGCACCCCTTTCGCCGTTTCGCCGTCCATGAGCTTAGCTAGGCTTAGGTTTAAGTTACTTTCTAAAAAAAACATTCAGCTAACATCTTTCTATCATGGAAACGTTTTTGACATAAGGAACGATAAAATATAAACAATCATAAACGTGCAGAAAAGCCTGAAAAAAGATAAAGGTAACGAGTTGATGTATGATGATCTACAGATAAACCGTTTGATACGCTAAATCTATTCAATTTACTATCAAGATGCTCTGCTGCCGACGTAAAATAAAATCCTGAGGTCAATTCGTACAAGCTGACAGCGACGACCACGCGGTACAACAGTATACCACGGCAACAACAGTTGAATTAAAGTTTTTTCGATACTAAATCTATTAATATATGAAAGCGAGGGTAAAACTGAGCGATAAAGCGCCGATGCAAGCGTATTGGGGCCCCTACAAGCCAGGTTTCACGATAAAGTACTCCCTGATACGTTAAAATACTAATTAAAGTATATTTTAATAATAAAAAGCTTAATTTTGTAATATTAGCTTTAATAAAGCTTATTTAAACGGTTAGCCGAAAAAGCGGTCGAGCGGTCGAGCGGTCGAGCGGTCGAGCGGTCGAGTGGTCGAGCGGTCGAGTGGTCGAGCGGTCGAGCGGTCGAGCGGTCGAATTATATGAATTGCCTTTTTTGGATGAACTATAGTAATTTTGGATACTTTTCTTTTTGTATGGGCTTTTCATCATTCTCTTTTCTCCTTTTTCTTTTCTTTTCTTTTCTTTTATGATTTCGGCCTTCTTTCCGGCGTTTTCGACCCTCAAAAACTTCTATTTTCCAGAAGATGAGCATCTTCTCGGGACGCAGCAGCTTCCTCGGCTACGAGACGGATGTGATCACCGTCGTCAAGCAGCTCTCGCGCCGACATCTTCTATCTCACCAACAATGGACGGTAAAAAGAATTTCGCTTTACGTTTTACAGATCTTTTTTAGGATTATCGACACCGAAGCGTTGGATGGACTTGGCAAAGACAATCTCTCCTCCCCTCCTCCGCTCCATCCGCGTCAACAAGAGCACTAACAAGGACATGATGAGGTTCATTTTTCAAATCTAATCAATTATGAAGCGTTTTTGGAACATTTTTCGCGATTTTTAGCAATTATTTTTGGTCAAAATTCGCGAAAATTGCCTAAAAATTGCGGTGATCTCGACGTTTGCTAGGTTTCAAAAGTTATCGAGTTATAATGACCGTAATTTACTAAAAACACTTTAAAGATATTTTTTTACTCGGTGAAAAAATAACACTTTTACCCGGTTCTTTACAGGAATCTCGATGGCCGTCGCCTTGGTGCTGTGGAGAAAGAGAAGAAGATCCGCAAGTGGTTCGAGAAGAAGGAGGAACGCGAGCGGTTGACCGTCGAGAAAAGGTTAATTGATTTCGACTACCCGAAACTCCCCATTTTCCAGAAAGGCCAAGATCGCCAAGCTGAAATCGAAGGCCCCGCACGACTTCAAGGAGTCCGAGCAGTTCGAGGAGGAGCGCAAGGAGCTCGAGGAGAAGGCTGAGGCCGCCTTTGAAGACGGTAGCTTAATTCTCGGTCTGAAAATGTATTTCTGCTTTTTTAGCCCTGAAAAACCTGCTCGAATCGACGGACGCTGACGACGACAAGGAGAAAAAGAAGCAAAAAACGAGCCAGCGCCGCAGACTTCTTCCTCTGATGACTCGGACTCCGATCCCGAAATGCCCGGCACCAGCGGGTAATTTTTAAAATTAAAAGTTTTAAAAACGGCGTGATTGTTGTCAAAAACCATGCAAAGACCGATTTTACTACAAAAAACATCGTCTTTTTGCGCAAAAATTAAATTCGCAGATTTTTGCTGAGTTTTCTAGATGTTTTTCTGTTGAAATATGGCCAAGTTTCCGGCAAAAACACAGTATTTGACTTTTTACTTTTTAGATTTAGATTCTAGTCGAAAATCGGTCATTTTTGCTTGCAAAATCGATCTTTTTTGGTGTTTTAATCAAACTTTTTAAAATTTTACGTTTAAAAGTAGTTTGCTCCCCCCGATAGTGCAAAAGAACCGTTTTGTAATACGAATTTGCAGGCTCTCCTTCGGCAAGGGCAAGAAGCGAAAAGCCGTCCACCTTGGGGAGGCCGACCTGGGCCCGTCAGCCGCCCGTGTACAAGCCGACGGAGACCGTGGTGGAACAGCGGAAACGCGAGGTGAGAGTAGCGATTATTTCCTCTTAATTTAGCTTTAGAAACCTGTCGCCAGGCAGCCGGAAGTGGTCGTCGAGCTGGTCGACAAGTCCCAGCCGCAAGCAGAAGCCTTAGCCAGGGAAAAGGAGGAAGGGAGGACGTAAGGAGCCGCCCAAGGACTTCCCGGCCGTACTGCTCGGCGACTTTGCTGATCCCGCCCAGCTCCAGGCCCTGGGACTCGATCATTTGAGGCATTCGCTTGAAGGTAATTTTTATGTTGCAAAGCTTTTAAGAAAATTTCCTTGTTTTCGTTTTTTCGAAAATAAAAAAGCATTTTTCTGATTTTTGAGTCGTATAAATCGGATTTTGTAGCAAAAAATATCTCTTTTACGCATTTTTAGCAGCTGCCCGCTTTTGTGATTAAAAAAACATATTTATTTAGTTGTAAACTTTGTGAATTAAGAATTTTGTCTTGTTTTAAATTCGCAAAAACAGGATTTTTCCGCGAAATTAACGTTTTTACGCGTTGGGATAAGCAAAATTCGAGCCTGCGCTAAAATAGCTGAAAATATGTATTTATTTTGCTGAAAAGTTTGTAAAATCGAGCTTTTCCTGGAAAAAAAGCGATTTCCCGGGCTCAAAAACTTTGTTTTTTCCAGGCAAAATTGACGTTTTTACGGGCCGCGGTGCATATATTTACGATCAGCGTGAAGCTTGGCATATAGCGTATTTTTTGAGTGTACATAGATGATTTTTAAATGCTTAATAATTTGAATAAAAAAATTCGTAAAATTTTGATAATTAAAAATTTCATTCTTTTGTTTGCAGCACGCGGCCTGAAGTGCGGTGGATCGCTGGAGGAGCGCGCGGCGCGTCTCTACTCCATCAAGGGACTGCCCGCCGACAAATACCCCAAGAACATCCGCGCCCCCAAGCCAAAGCCAGCCAAGAAGGGAAGCCAAGCCCGCCAAGCCACCCGTTGGCGCTTCATTTGTACAAAGTTTTAAGATATTTCTGGTCGTTGTCCTTTTCACATATACATTTGCGCTTGGCTTAATCGTGTTTATGTTTATTTTCATGTTTTTCTCACGCCCCGCCCCTCGAATAAATGGTTACAAAGTGAAAACGCGGTTTGTTTATATTTTTACTGGCTTGATATTAAGCCCGGTAGTTTCTTGATGTATTTTTTGGGTATTTGCCTTGAGCTGCCTTTTTTTAAAAGATTTTTCGGTTCTTTCGAACTATTTTTCAAAAAGTCCAACTTTTGCTCAAAAGCCGTCATTTCTAGTCAAAAAATCTATATTTGTAAGGCTAATTGGTAAAGCTTTAACGTTTAGGAATAGTAAAATACGGCTTAAAAACCCTTTCTCTGCATATTTATATCTGAAAAATTGGATCCAAGGAAAAGATGCCCCCGCCCCCGATTTTTCTTGTTTTAGGAAAATAGGAAAGTGGATACGGCATTTTTAAAGCGTCTAACGCTTTTCCGCGCTCATTTTCGCGTGCGTAGCGTCCAAAGAAATGCTTATTTTGATGATTTTATAGATTTTAATTGACGAAAAATGCGATACTACTTGAATTTTAGAGCATGAAACCCGTCAAAATTGAATTTTGAACCTTCTAGAGGATTTTCTGCTCCAATACATGCGTAGCTTGGGAAAATGTTGAAATTGTTTTTTTAGACTATGATGAAAAGAAAGAAATACGTAATTTAGGAATAGCAAAGCTTAGAAAAAGTAGTACAGCTTCGATTTTTAAGTTTTTTTGGCCGCCTTGCGCGTTTGTAGCGTCGAAAGCTGCTCAAAATTGTTATTTTGATGAGTTTATGGAAGCACGACGCTAACTTTGAAGCGACAATACCTTTCAAAGATTAGTTAAAGCTTCGAAAATGTATATTTTGATGATTTTCCTCGTTTTTGGAGCTTTTTTGACAGTTTGTTGCATTCGGCGTGCGTCTCGTCGAGATTTTTTGCAGGGTTTTGGGCTAGTTTTTATGCTGATTGTGAATTTAGCAAAAAAAAACTGGAAAATCACTCACTTCTTTACTTTACGCTTGATTTTACTTTGATTTGGCCGGCTGGAAATGCGTAGTAACTTGATTGGAACTATTTTAAGCGTGTTTTTGTGAAAATAAAACTATATTTGAACTAGCAAACTTCTAAAGGTATCAAAAAGTCGAAATGTTGCTCAAAAACGCCCATTTTTGGGCGAAAAAGGCTTTATTTGGGTTTTTTGGACGATATTTTTGTATTTTTAACACGAATTTGGAAAGTTTCCACGTTTTTAAATAGGAAAAACCGTTTAGATACACTTTCGCGATTTCTATAGAAAAATTGGAGCCTAAAAACCGCATTTTACGGCAAATCCAGCCATTTTCCTTTTTTTGCCGTGCGTTTTTGGCCCTTTTCCGCTTCATTGATCGTTTTTCGCGTTTATCCTCATGTGCTGCTACTATCTTCTACTGTACTTGTTCCAGATGCCGGCCAAGGCTGCGGTGAAGCGGAAGAACAAGGCCAAGGCCGCCAGGCCCGTCAAGGTACCTACAACTTTTTTGGCTTTACAATCTCTCTTTTTTAGGCCACCGAAAAGAAGCCGAAGATCGACGAGGGCAGCGCTGCAGACGAGGAGCAGGCCAACAAGCCGGCCAAGACATCCGCCCCTCACCCCGTTGATGAACAGCAAGTGCTACAGGGAATCCAGGGCCAGGTAAACAACTTGGAATTATTTTTTTGGTACCGAACTGTTGGCGGGACGGACTAATTTTTGTGTTCCCGCCCGTAAATGCCGTGAATAATAGGTGTTTATGGTGTTTGATGGCCAAAAAGGCATTAAAAAAGTTTTTAAATTTTGAAAACTGAATTTATTGACGTTTTTCTCCTTTTTCATAAATTTTCGCCGAAAAAGTCGGAAATTTGCAAAATTTTTTACGAGGTTTTATGAGGTTTTTGTAGCTAAAAACTATCCAATACAATTGAAATGGTCTAGACTTTGTGATTATCGAGCTTTACGAGATAACGGCAAAAAGTTGACTGCCCCCCCCCGCTAACAGTATAGTACCAAAGATTTCGCGATTGTTTTTACACGTTATGTTTTCAGGCGGTCGCGAAGGTCGTGGAGCTCGAGCAGCAGGAGGAGAACGATCCGAACGAGGACAACGAGCAAAAGCACAAGCAAGACCAGGTGCGAGATTGAATTTTTAATTAATCTACATAAATTGGGGTGGTGGACCAATTTTTCTCTAGGTGCTGGATACAACCCTGAGTTTCTACACGTTTCTAAACTGTTTTGTACTATTCCGGAACTGAAAAACTTTGCAGATTTTATTTCGTTGCAAAAATTCGCTTTTTTTGCCGGAAATGGAAAGTTCAAGGCATTTTCTGGGGTCCTAAGAGTCGAAACTTTGAATTTATGTAGTCCTAAACAGCTAATTCGTTTCGGCATTTGACAAATTAGTTTAGAAACAATTCTTTATTTATATTACTGAAATTGGACTTGGAGGAAGTTGCATCCCCCCCCCCCCCCGATAATGCTGCAGCGCCCGGAACTATTTTAATTTCAATTTCTTAGGAGGACGACAAGAAGAAGAAGAAGAAGCAACTGCAGAAGAAGAAAAAGAACCAACGCAAGAAGGTCAAGAAGCTGAGAGAGGAACGATCTGCTGCAGCGCCCGAAATCCGGCGTAACACCAACTACCGCGCATTCCTCACCGTGATGGCTTTTGCGTGTGTATTAAGTATCCCGATCGCGGTACGCGACTTTTGCATATGATATATTATTATCTGTTCTTTTCGGGTGGAATGTGCGGAAATCGCCGAAGCGATGAGGGAAAAAAGGCCCGCTCGCCCGATTTTTGAGCGATTGGCGACATTATATGCGACAGGCCTGGGAGGAGTTGCCGTACGCACCACAGGAGATCGACGTTCGTTAACATTTATTAGCATTATTTGGTTTTTCTAGATGGCTAAAGACTTCATGGGAACCCTCGTCCAGACTGTCGTCGACTTCGCCGCCTACTTCGTGATCTTCACCACCATAACCTTTCCCGTCGGCCCGGTGATCCGTAATTGTCTATGGATCCTTATTATAATTCGGATCGCGGCGAGCATGATCTTTTGGTTTTCGGGCTTGTCTACTTCGGCGGTGCTCGGAAATGCCGTGAAACTTTTCTTGGAATTCATGGTCTGTCTTTACGACGTCTTCCAACTGAACTACGCCCGCGCCTAAGCGAGAGCCTAGCAGATTGTATCAAGTTGCGAAATTGAGCTTTTCTTGGAGCTGTATTTTTTCAAAAATTCTCGGGCGTGGTTTTCTTTTCTCTATAGAACGCTAAAATCATTGTCTTTCGGATTGGGGCGTACTGTGCGTGGTCTTGCTGCGCGAGCCTGCTTTCGCAATTGCGCGACGCGTCGATCGCACGCGTGGCGGTCTTCCCTCGTTTCCAAAGCTACCGGCGGACTTTTTATTAGGAGCCGGGCCGCTGTGTATAATCTAAAAATCTAATCCGATGTATTCATGTAACTTGACCAAAGTGTTTGTCATCTTTCTGTGTTCTTACGTTGTGATGCTGTGTATACGTGTGATCTTGCGATACTTTGTCATATGATATTTCCGATATACGAATTTGTCTTTTTTTGATGCGAACTAGGATAAAATTTCGCCGGTGTTTCTCATTGTGCCACACTGAAAGCGCGGATTTAGACAACATAAAAAATGACAATTACCGTAGCTAGCAGGGAAGATGTAAAAAATGACAATTACAGTAGATAGTAGAGTCGGTGTGAAAAACTAAAAAATGACATTTACAGTAGATAGTAGAGTCGGTGTGAAAAAATAAAAAATGACATTTATAGTAGATAGTAGAGTCGGGGTGAAAAACTAAAAAATGACATTTATAGTAGATAGTAGAGTCGGGGTGAAAAACTAAAAAATGACATTTATAGTAGATAGTAGAGTCGGTGTGAAAAACTAAAAAATGACATTTATAGTAGATAGTAGAGTCCGTGTGAAAAAATAAAAAATGACATTTATAGTAGATAGTAGAGTCGGTGTGAAAAACTAAAAAATGACATTTATAGTAGATAGTAGAGTCGGTGTGAAAAACTAAAAAATGACATTTATAGTAGATAGTAGAGTCGGTGTGAAAAACTAAAAAATGACATTTATAGTAGATAGTAGAGTCGGGTGAAAAACTAAAAAATGACATTTACAGTAGCCAGCAGCGGAGATGTAAAAAAAGTAAAAAATGACAATTACAGTAGCTAGCAGCGGAGATGTAAAAAACTAAAAAATGACAATTACAGTCTGAGTCTGGGGTGCGTCGTGAATCCGGCTCCGCTCCCCTTTTTTATCGTGATACCCTGAATTTCGATTGGCTGATGCAATGAGGTGAGGATTTATTGCTGGGTCCTCATTTTGAGCCATTTGTACCGCCAGGCGACCACCATCTGCTTTGTCGGTTGACGAGGGCAGCATTTCCCCGGACGGGCATGCTCATTTCTGGGTCGTCGCTGCGGGAAGCCAGCTGAAAATGTTGAATTCTAAACATACCTCACAGCTCGAAGAGATAGAGTGAGAGAGACAGAGAGTGAGAGACGGCTAGAGAGAGAGCTAGAGAGACAGCCAGAGAGAGAGAGAGCGAGAGAGAGATAGAGAGAGAGAGTGGGCGAGACAGAGAGAGGGAGAGAGACAGAGAGTGAGAGAGAGCTAGAGAGACAGACGGGGGGAGAGAGAGAGAGAGAGAGAGAGAGAGAGAGAGAGAGTGGGCGAAACAGAGAGAGGGAGAGAGAGAGTGGGCGAGACAGAGAGAGGGAGAGAGAGGCAGAGAGTGAGAGAGAGCTAGAGAGACAGACGGAGAGAGATGGGGAGAGAGAGAGAGCTAGAGAGACAGAGAGAGATAGGGAGAGAGAGTGAGCGAGACAGAGAGAGGGAGTGAGAGACAGTGGGATAGGGAGCGAGAGAGCGAGAGAAAGAGAGAGTGAGAGCGAGAGCGATAGGGAGAGATAGAGAGACGGAGAGAATGAGAGAGAGTGACAGAGAGAGCGAGAGAGAGAGTGGGTATGTGTGGGACAGAGGGAGACACAGGCAGAGATAGAGAGAGTGAGTGCGAGTGTGTTTGAAAGAGAGGGAGAGAGAGTGCGTGTGAGCGCACCTACCAAACATTAGGCTGTAGAAGGAGCACATGACAAACAGTGTGATCCAATCTAGCTGGACGGTAAACGGACGCCGCTCCTAAGAAAAATGTTGCCTGGTATGGTCTGTGGTCTAGCAAAATTTATTCTGCGGTTTTTTTTTGGCAATAACCACTGCGACCTAAGGCTGCCGATCGGTGGCCTTAGACACATTTTCAGGGCCTGCCGGCTGGGGGATGGGGTTGGGGAGGGGTGGAGGAGTAGCAAACTCTCACCGACGTCTCCTTGGCTAGGATTACCATATTTGAATTGGATACCTCGAGGCGGCGAGGGAATTCTTCGGCGAAATTGTAGGCGTCGTCCAACGATCTGGGCCCGAATCGCCAGTACCAGTATGGCACGAAGAAGGCCGTCAAAAACCCGCCGAACATTCGTCCGACGACGAACGCTTCGTAGTGGCCCCGCTGAAGCGCACTCCAAATTTCGGCTGGACTTTCCTGTCTACCACAGGCGCGTAGGGCGGGCAGAAATTTTTTTTGAGGGAAAAGCCTAAGGGTCCGGGTAAGATTTTGCCTCACCCCACAGATTTTGCCTCTCACACTTTTCGCGATTTTCGCCATTTTGCTCGGGATTTTTTTTGAAACGCCATTTGATAGAGCGTCAAAAAATATACGAAGAGTTTTCATTTAAGCCTACAATAATGTAAAATAAACCCCGCAGGCAAAATGTTTTCAAATAAAATTGATACATTCCCGAAAAGCCAGCGCTGCAAGCGCAAAATTTTTGGAAAAATAGGTTTTTCGGCAGTTTAAATGCAAAAACAATGATGCAAAATTGTTGCAAAAACAATAATAAATAGCGCGGCAGGCAGAAAAACAGCTGTGTAGAATTTGAAATAGCAAAATGCCTGCGTGACCTATTTTATTGGGATATCCTGTATATATGCCTCACCCTGTAGGCCCTGCCTAGACTGGTACCCACCCACCTGTTCGTTGCAGTCGTACGTCTCGTAGTTGTCCCATTCACGGCGCAACCATTCCCCCACATACGGCACCCGGTAAATCGGGTTGAGCGTCGATGATTTGGATCGGCGCTGCTTCTCCTGCAATCAACAAGATAAGACGAAGCCTAAGCCAAGCCTAAGCCAAGCCTAAGCCAAGCCTAAGCCAAGCCTAAGCCAAGCCTAAGCCAAGCCTAAGCCAAGCCTAAGCCAAGCCTAAGCCAAGCCTAGCCAAGCCTAAGCCAAGCCCAAGCCTAAGCCGCCTAAGCCAAGCCTAAGCCAAGCCTAAGCCAAGCCCAAGCCGCCTCCAAGCCAAGCCTAAGCCAAGCCTAAGCCAAGCCTAAGCCAAGCCTGCCAAGCCCTGGCCAAGCCAGCCTGCCGCGCCGCCAAGCCCAAGCCAAGCCTAAGCCGCCTGCCGGCCCAGCCAAGCCGCCTGGGCCAAGGCCGTTCCAAGCCGCCTGGCCAGCCCACAGCCCAAGTCAAGCCTAAGCCGCCCGCTAAGCCCGCCGCTCCAAGCCTGCCAAGCCCGCTGCCCGCCTAGCCCAGCCGCTTGCCTAGCCGCCTGCCTGGCCTCCGCTGCCTAAGCCAAGCCCAAGCCGCCCAAGCCAGCCCTAGGCCAAGCCCAAGCCAAGCCTAAGCCGCCAAGCCAAGCCTAAGCCAAGCCTAAGCCAAGCCTAAGCCAAGCCTAAGCCAAGCCTGCCGCTTCCGCCAAGCCTGCCGCCAAGCCTAAGCCCAAGCCTAAGCCAAGCCTAAGCCAAGCCTAAGCCAAGCCTAAGCCAAGCCTAAGCCAAGCCTAAGCCAAGCCTTAGCCAAGCCTAAGCCAAGCCTAAGCCAAGCCCAAGCCAAGCCCAAGCCAAGCCTAAGCCAAGCCCAAGCCAAGCCTATGCACAAGACCCAAAAACAAGTCTTACCAATCCCTTTAGCGACGGGATGCGTGTGTAGGTGTACGTGTAGATACGTGTGGTCCGTCGACTAGTCCCATCCGACACTGGCACCAGCATGAACACTGAATTTATTAAAAACCAGCGGGGGAGGAGCCGCTTCGCGACTCTCCCCCGCTGGACCCCGTCTAGGCCCTATGAATCGAGCGCCCTCCCACATAAAGTTACCCTGCAGAAAGAAAAACGCATCTCCCATGCAAACCGCTTTGTATTGACATGCGGCGCAAGCTTAAATCGCTAGTGTCGTTATTAGGCCTGCTGCGCATGCTTGATCGGCTAGGTGGCCACCTCATCCGGCGGCTCAAGCTGGAGGGATTAGCCTCCTTTTTTGGCCTGCGGCGCCAGCTTGAGCGGTTTGCTTCGAGATAAAGCCTGCGGCGCAAGTTTGAGCGGTTACCTCCTTCTTTAGCCTGCGGCGCTAGCTTCAATGGTTGGCTTTATTCGTTAGCCTCCGGCGCTAGCTTGAGCGGCTAGCTTCGTTCTAAAGCCTGCGGCGCTAGCTTGAGCGGCTGGCTTCGCTCTAAAGCCTGCGGCGCTAGCTTGAGCGGGTAGCATCATTCTATAGGCTGCGGCTTGAGTGACTAACTTCATAATAACGTCCCTACACGGAAATCTACTCCGAAACGCACTTTCGGAGCAAAAAGCAAAACAACTACGATATCCGAGGATCGAACCTCCGATGGTTGGATTAGCACGGCGAAGCGCTTACCACTACGCCATGCAATGCTTGGCAGCACGCGCCAAACACCCGTTTTATGCCTCAAGAGGACTGCCCGGGGCAGGGGAAGGAAAGGCATCGAGAGGCAGATCCAAAGAGACGACCAAACTCGCGAGTGCAATTGGCAAGAATGAGGAAATTTGTATTTTTTCACATTATGCAAATTAGCCCTCCCGGACCCCCAAAAATGAATAAAACCGGCTTTAACTTTGTAAACTTGTATTTTATCGGGGTTCTGAAAGCGTCATCGGAAAGAGGAGGGTAGATTCCCCCGGGTGACGGAGAATTAGGGCATTTTGGACACGGGAAGGCCCTCAAATCGGGCCTCGAAACTGACATCCACACACACACACACACACACACACACACACAGAGATACACTCCAAAATTATATAAGGTAGAATTGGAGCCAATTTGGAATTTTGTGATATTTAAATCTCTCAGAAATTTGTGAATATTTGAATCTGTGAAATTTAAAGTTTTTGTTTTGGATAATTTTTGAAACATTTTTGATCAAACAGTCAAAATTTTCAAAATTTTCAGTTTCCTGAGCACAGTTTTACCTAAAAACTGCGTAAAATGCGCTAAAAATGGTTTATATTTTGTTGGAGGGCCGTACCGGGTTACCGGGGAAAAATTGGTGCCCTCCCCCCGTTAACAGATAAGCACCGGCTCCGCGGCCAGCCCACCTGAGGCAAGGGCGGCAACGAGAAAGCTGCCGTAATAGATGAAGAACCCGTGGAGGCGTAGCAAGGCCGGCCACCGCCATTCGTCGTACTCCCAACCGGGCATCACCTGCAAAATGCCCTATTCTGGCCCCGATTTACGTGTCGTAATGTCGAATACTTTGACCGGGCTCCCTCTAACCTTGTCATTTCTCGATCGAGAGCCCTAATATTTTGCGTGTGGCCAAACTGGCATCCAGGCTACAAGCTCCATTGGTTACTTTTCGACTATAGACTACAAAACAAGGCTGCCGGGCGAGGGACCCAAGTTCGACCCCCCCACCGGGGGGTCAACTTTTTCCTGCTTGAAAATGGCCCCAATTTTGATCGGAATCGCGGTGCTGACAGCCAGCTCAACGAAAAATAAAATTTAAGGCATCTACGGTACCCTAAATCGTCAATAGGACCCATTCGGAAAAGGGCCTAAATCGCGATTTTGGGGGTGTTCTGTCCCCCTTTAAGTGGCTAGATCTAGGGATACGGTAGCTGATAGTGTTGGGATGTGATAGAACTCATTCTCCTCTTTCGAATAGATCATAACAATCATCTACAGTACCCCCAAATGTCAACAGGAATCCCGTGGAAAATCGGAAAAACTCAGATTATCGCAATTTCCCTGATCGATCTGAATCTTTGTAGTTGGTAGCTAGAAGTCAAATTTTTTCGGGATTAGCTAAACTGGCAGGCATTCTACAAAATGCGCGTATTGTAACGTACTGATTCGATGACAAATCTGAAATCCGGTAGCTGATGGTTGATGTTTTGATGGAGGGCATATAGACCGTGGAGCTGCATCAATATCCATAGCACGATAGAAGCCGTCGATTGCACATCGTACAAATCAGCCTAAAGGTCAAGGATTACGCCATGAAATTAAGCAACTAAGTATACCCGGTCGTCGCATTGGAAAGTGTTCCGGATGAGGTCACGACGGAAAAGATGACGACGAAGGGTACTGTAGAAGGGCCACCAGATACTGAAAGGTTTGTAGTCTGTAGTCTGTCTGCCAGTTTAACGAATCCCACAACAATTAGAACCCTAACTACAAACTACAAAAAATTAGAGCATTTCGAAAATTTGGCAAAAATCCCGTTTTTCCGGATTTTCCGCGGGATTCCTGTTGACATTTGGGGATACTGTAGATGATTGTTATGATCTATTCGAAAGAGGAGAATGAGTTCTTTCACATCCCAACACTATCATCTACCCTATCCCTAGATCTAGCCAGTTAAAGGGGGCAGAACACCCCGAAAATCGAGATTTTGGCACGTTTTCGAATGGGTACTATTGACTTCTGGGGGTACTGTGGAGAGGTTTTAGCAATTGTATCATCTAGTCTGGCTGCCAGTTTGGTCATTTCTCTCTCTCTCTCTCTTTTTCTCTCTCTATTTCTTACGGTATTTTCGGCATCCTTCTGACTGTCCACCCGAAAGTCTTCTTCTCCCGCGGTCCCACAGAAGCACTTCTCCGCACCCGTTTCGCGGTAACCTGCAAATCACCAACATTTCGAGCGTCAACCAACTGAAATTGTTGTTTTGTGTATACCTTTCCATAGTCGTGAAACTGAACGATTTTGGCTGGTTTTCGCGGGCTTTTGCGACGCGGGGGGGAAACCAACTTTTTTTTGTCGACCCTGGTGGGGATAGTAATCAAATATAAAGTGTTTTCACATTGTTTTTAGCAAAATTTAAGCCTATTTGAATCGGAAAAACTTTTTTAAAAGTTGGAAAAACGCTTGAAAAAGTCGAAAATTTGCTCATTTTGGGCCGAAAAAAGCTCAATCCAATCGATCGGAGACCGGTTTCCTCAATTGCCAACCCTAGTATCACCTTGTCATCGAAGATTTTTGGCTTCCATCCGGGCGAGGTTGAACGGTTTCGTTGCATCGTCCTCTCGCATTCCATCGTTCCTTCCGCCTGAAACACGATTGGTGCGTCGGTGCTGGACTTTGAGTTGTTATTCGACCCGGGTCGAAATGGTCGAAACTTTTGTAGGCTCCCGCAGCGAAAACTCTGTAAAATTCATAACTTTTTCCAACGTCGAATTCCGCGATTTCGTCTTCAGTTTTGATTCGTGGGATCATTTCCTAGATTTTGAGTCCTTAAACTATATAAGTTTTCATGCTACTCAGGTCCTCGGGTCCACCCGAAATCCGGTCTGCATCTGCTCGCGAAATCGATCGGAATTCCAGTAGCGGACGCGACCGGATTCCACGTGGAAATCGACCGGATTGCGGGTGGAGGCGCGGTAAATCAGTTGGAAATCGATCGGATCCGCCCGGTTTCCACTCGATTTCCATTTGCCGCGTCGCGTGCGGCACGCGTTGCGTCGTGTTTCCACTCGATTCCCTGTGCGTCCACCCGAAATCCAGCCGATTCCCATGCGTTCCACCCCAAATCCAGGTGGAATACAACCGGATTTTGGGTGGACCCGAGGAGCTGAGTAGAATCACAAAGAACGGCGCACCATGGCAGGGGGAAGTGGTTCCGAGAAATGGCCGCGCGCGGAACAAGGCAATCAGGCCGTTCTCTGTGATTCTAGCACAAAAACTTATAGTTTAACAGCTCAAAATGTAGGAAATGATCTCACAGAACCAAAACTGAAGACGAAATAGCGGAATTCTACTTTAGAAAAAAGTTATGAATTGTACAAAGTTTTCGCTGCGGGAGCCTACAAAAGTTTCGACCATTTCGACCCGCGGGTCGAATAACAACTCTATTCTGGACTGTTAGCGGGGGGAGGGAATTTTGGCAGCGGGCGGAGACACTTTCTGTTTTTTCCATCTTTTGATGATTATGCCTTTCTAGAGGGTTTTTAGTAGTTTTTCATTGCTTTAAAGGTATAACAAAATAGTTTTCGAACCCTTTTTTCCGTTTTTTTTTCTGGTTTTGTATTATTCTATATCAAAAAAACTAAGAGACGCACAGGGAAAATCGCCCCCCCCCGCTAACAGCCCAGAACCAGTATTTTAAGAAATTTTAAGAATAGCATAATAGAATAAAGAATAGGAATTTTTTAACGTGTTTTTTAGTCGATTTAGCTACATCTTAAGTCGACAAAAAAATAAAAGAACGTCGAACCTATTTGTTTTTGTCGAAAACCGGCCATTTTGGGGGTAGAAAATCGATAATTTGTGTATTTTCTAATGCTAATTTGTAGAGTTTTTGCATTTAGGAAGGGTAAAAACGGTTTAGAATCACTTGTAGAGGTTTAGAGAGAGCGAGAGAGACTGAGAGAGAGAGAGAGAGAGAGAGAGAGAGAGAGAGCCCATACCCTTCCCCCCGCGATAATGCAAAAGAACCGTAAAAAAATTGAACGAAAACCATGGCGTGGGTTGGTGGGGGCAGATGGTGGAGGCACGGATATGCAAAGGGGGTGGCCAGAGAGGAGAGAGAGAGTGGAGAGAGAGAGAGTGGAGAGGGAGTGAGAGAGCGAGCGGGATAGAGAGAGTGGCAGAGCAACGCCCCGGGCCATCCAAGCATCTAGGCCACCGCTTCGTAGGCCACCCGCGACCGTGGCCTCGGGAGATACAGCCTGTCAGCCGTCTCGAACATCGTCCTCGTTGGACCGAGAGTGCTCCAGTTTCGTGAACTCCCAAGCTGTCACCCAGGCTACAAGCTGCACGATTTTCCAGCAAATCCACCGCTAAAAACTCAACTTTCGGCGCTCCAATCTCTGCGAAAACATTGGGCGATACCGAGCCATCGGGTACTGGGTTGCTAGCGGGGGGAAGGGGAGATATTGATCGGGGGAACCAAATTTTTGTTTTTCCACGATTCGACCCGGTAAACAACAATATACAATTTCGAAATGGCCAAAATTTTGGCAATTTTGGGTCATTTTTCACGGGCCAAAAAGTCGTCGAAATTTTTATGATGATTTTAGGAGAGTTTTATATCTAAAAATCGTTTAAAATGCTATAAGAACCTTGGTGACATGGCCGTACGTGATTACGGAGAAAATGTTGCCCCCCCGCAAAAGATCCAGTGCCGCTAGCGTGTGACCATGCGAGCGTCTCACCCCCAATCCCCGAATTTCACAGGATTTCATGTTTTTCGAATACTTTTCATAATTTCTAGATATTTTTTAGCGTTACAAACTATATTTCTGTTTTCTAGAAGATGAGCATCTTCTCGGGACGCAGCAGCTTCCTCGGCTACGAGACGCACGTGATCACCGCCGTCAAGCAGCTCCCCCGCGACATCTTCTACCTCACCAACAATGGACGGTAAGATAATATGATTTTAGAACCCTTATAGCGGAATATAAACCATTTTGTATGTTAGTTTACACAGTTTTAGGTATAAAAATTCGAAAATTACGGGCTTTTTGTTGTTGATAAATGCAGGAAAGGTCATAATTTTCGAATTTTTCGTATTTGTAACTTTCCAGCAATCAAAAGCCCTGAAAAACGCTATAAAGAAGATTCAGTATCATTGACAGACTTTTTATAGCTCTGATTTAGAATCATCGACACCGAAGCCACTGGCTGTCAGATATTAAGAAATGCGCTCATGAGAGGTGGGGGCGCTCCGTAGCGTTCCTATGCCCGCGCGCACACTATGCTTGCCTACCGATCCATGATTTTTCGAGAGAGAGGCAAAGAAAGGGGCCAAAAAAACGCACAAATTTTCAACTTCAAATGCCTATAACTTTTGAAAACGACGTTGTTGTGGGGAGTCCACCGATACGAAATATAGAGAAGACTCTTGCGCACATTCTGGGAGGGGTTTTATGGGTGATTTAGCGTGAAAATAAGGATTTATCTAGGATTTAAGCCGGAAAAATTGCGAAAATACGAGCTTTGTGCGCCGCGTTTTTCTTTGCGTTTAGCCGCATTCTTCCGGGTTTTTTCACCGATATTCATCGGAAAAGAATCGGTACGGTCAAATTGGGTACTTCTGCCGTCCTGGGAAGTAAAAAAGGTGCTGAATGAGAGATCCTAATAATTGAACAACTAAAGCTAGTCAAATTTTTCAGCTTTGTACGGATGAAGGGGGCTTGAAATCATTGAATTGTGGCTAATTTGGGCAGTACATGTCTTTGTTATTATGATATTCCTTTATTGAGCGAATCGGCACCATCTGAGACAATTTCTTCTTTAGAGCCCGGGAAATAGCAAAACTTTTTATTTTATTACGTTTTGAAATAGTAAAACCCCTGGAAAATAGTTTGCCCTCCCCCCCGATAATGCGCAAGAACCTTTTTAAGCTTGATTTGCAGGTTCTCCTTCGGCAAGAGCAAGAAGCGAAAAGCCGTCCACCTCGGGGAGGCCGACCTGGGCCCGTCGGCCGCCACCGATAAATTGTACGGGCTTGCTGCGGCCCGAGACGACAATCTCGATCGATTTCCTGGTGCCGGCCAGCAGCAACAGGGTTCGGAGGATCGAGATCTAAAATGTGGGTGTTACTAGGCGCGTAGCGTAGCGTACAGACCTTTCTGACCGACTTGATGTCCTCGACGACGAGCAGGGGCGCCGGATGCTCGGCTTTTCCCTTTTGCTTGAACACCAGCGTCCTAAAATGGTCCCTCATTGAAGATGGGTTCTAAAAACCCACCGATCGGTCAGGTAGAGGATGCCCTGGCTGATGCCCTTCGGGAAACGCTTCTCCTTGTCGCTGAGGACGCAGCTCCGGACTGGAGTAGAGTACAGTACCAGGGCATCCTCTACCTGACCGATCGGTGGGTTTTTAGAACCCATCTTCAATGAGGGTTCATTTTAGGGCGCTGGTGTTCAAGCAAAAGGGAAAAGCCGAGCATCCGGCGCCCCTACTCGTCGTCGAGGACATCAAGTCGGTCAGAAAGGTCTGTACGCTACGCTACGCGCCTAGTAACACACACATTTTAGATCTCGATCCTGCGAACCCTGTCGCTGCTGGCCGGCACCAGGAAATCGATCGAGATTGTCGTCTCGGGCCGCAGCAAGCCCGTACAATTTATCGGTAAGACAGTTTGCTATACCGTAAGGAAACGAAAATTTCAGGCGTCGCAAAACGGGACGACTTTGTGATGCGGCTGGAAGTCGTCTGCCGGACCCGGAACTCGTCGACAATTTTCCACGACGGGTAGCCGTGGTGTACAAAGGAATTGCATGTTGTTTTTTTTGTTAGTCTGTGCTATACGGTTACTGTAGATAAATGATCTCTTGCTTCATAAAATTTGTAAGCCATCGCGTTAATGCTATCTGAAAATCTAGAAAAACATTAGCTGAAAATGTTAAAAATCGGGGAAAAGTTCGAAAAATAATAAAATTAGAAAATCAGCAAAAAGAAGTTAGAAAATCAGCAAAAAAAATTAGAAAAGGAGCAAAAAGGTTAGAAAATCATCTTTATTTCACATGTCAAAGTGCAAAAAGTTGTCATGGATTACGTAGATAAGATCCGTGTCGACCGGGTTACGGTACGGGCGATCGTATAGGGTGGTGGCGTAGAATTCTCGGGGTCTCTGGGTGCACTTTTCGAGCAGTGGGTGGATGGTATAGAAACCGCTGGTCGTGTCGGTGAAGTGGACGTGAAGCCGGGCTGATGGCGGGAGATTGGCTGAATCTGAACTATTGTTTTTAACAGGTTTGTAATGCGTCACTGTTGCGTCCCGTCGAGTTTCGTTTGCACCAACCTATCACATCTTTAAGAAGCCGAAGCGTTGCGCCCAGACTTCGCCCAAAAACCGGCGCCAATCTCCAATCTCTATCACCGACAGTTGGTATCAATAGGCACATTGCTGAAGCCTAAAAGAAGCTTGGGGGAAGGTTACGGTAGCAAATTTACCTCCCCATCACATTCGAGTAGAATTCCGCCTTTTAGAAAGTCTAAGTTTAAAAGTTGAGCCCATAATTTGCGACGATTTCGGCCAGTGACCTCAAAAATTACAGCCTCTCTGTCGCTCTCTGTCACTCTCTCGCTCTCTCTCTCTCTCTCTCTCTCTCTCTCTCTCTTTCTCTATTTAGCTTTCTCATCCGATCTCTCATCCGATCTCTCTCTATCTCTCTCTCTCTCTCTCTCTCTCTCTCTCCAACCTACCATAGTATCCAATCGTAACAACGCCTTTCGACCCTTCTGCTCAAGCCGCTGAATCTCGACAAATTCTCCAGAACCGGACGCTTGGCACATTGCCAACCCTGACGAGCAAGTCGCCTAAAATACTCCCAAATTACCGTATACCACCCCGAGACGGAACCTTCAACTCCACCGGGCTACAATACATTTCATACTGTACCGGCCCTCGATGTGGCCAGCCCAGCTTCATATAGCGCTCGACGTGCTCGGGAACTGAATATCGAGGCTTTAAAGGGATTGGCAAGGCAAAACGGGCTAAATATTCACTTACTGGCCCTCATGGCTCGGGTCAGGTGGGGCGGAACGGAGCGGACCATCGTGTAGTCCCACAGGCCACGCCCCACGCCAAGCCCCTGCGCTTCGGGGAGCTGAAAAAGTGGGCTTTAAAGGGGATGTGACAGCAAAAACCTTTTGATAGGAGCTAGAAATGCCGCTAAAAGACACTAAAACTACCGTACCCACCACATTATACGCATCCATGGCAGCCATCCCATCGAATTCCGACCACACGAAGCAGCCGAGGAATTTGTCGGCTGAATTTTAGTTAGGTTTGAGGTTGAGCGCAGCGCAGCGGCCACGTCGCGGTTGAGACCTAGCGCAACGCGACCGCCACTCGTGAAACACCGAAATTTCAGCAAAAAAACAGACTTTTCCCATCCAGCGCGACCGCCAGCCTTGCGCCCTCCCACTTTGGGTAGAGGGCCATCGCCGATTTGTCATAGGCAACCCAGCCTTCCTAAAAGAGAGAGGTAGAGAGAGAGAGAGAGAGAGAGAGAGAGAGAGAGAGAGAGAGAGAGAGAGAGCGAACGACTGAGAGTGATTTTTCACAAACCTTTTTAATCATCCGAAACCATTCCCTCCAATGCTCATCCCGCCAATCTTCCGTAACATAAAAGTCGCCGTACCATGTTTTACGCATAGCTAGCCGGAATCTTTATAAATATCCGATTACGCGATCAAAATAGGGCCAGATCGAATATAATTTCGTGTCGATTTGGTCGCCCTGCCGCGTTGGGTCACTTTTTAGGCGGACAGAGATAAGATAATGGGCCGGCATGGCCAAAAATAGAGCATTGGTGTTTGTTTTCGATGGGTTCTTACCACTTCTTCTCGTTTTTTAGTGGAACACCGTCTTTATCCATATAAAACGAAAAAACGTTCCCAGAATACATTTTAAGCATTTCAAAATGCTTTTTGTGACATTTTTAGCCAACGATTGGATGCAATTTGGCGCCTATGGCAGATACCCGGCGCCAATGGAGCTGCTAAATGCTCGATTTGCCAGCTGGCCAGGTGGTCGGTGAAAATCGAGCCTGAGGATATGAGAATATAGCAGGGATTTAATGACAAATACTGATTTGGAATTTCTCTCTCTCCGTCTCTCTCTCGCTCTCTCGCTTTCACTCTCTCGCCTCTCTCTCTCTCTCCTCTCTCTCTCTTGCTCTCTCTCACGCACTCTCCCTCTCTATCTCATTCTCCCCATCGACAATCATCGTTCCAAGCAGTAAAAAACTTTATCATTTCTGCCAATGAATATTCAACATCTCCCTCCAATCGATCGGTTCCTCTCCACTCCTCTGCACACCCGAAGAACTGTCGATACGACCCCGTATCCCGGCCACATCAATGCTAGCGCGCCGCGTCACCACGTTCAGATACAGTAGCGCCTGAATTCAGATGTAGCGTAGCAGTTCCGATCATTTTTTTTGGATTCTGTGCCACCGACCGTAATCCTTGCGCCAGGCAATCGAATTTGAATATCAAGAAATCCCTCGACGGGCCGTCGTTTAGCGTTGAAGACCGGGGTCTCGGTACTGTTCGAAACAACGCCGGAATACGAGAGGAAATCCTCGTTTGGGGTACGCCTGGAAATTCACAGACTATAGACTACAGACTACAAAAGATATAAAAATGTTATCACGCTTCCACGCTCTACAGACTACAATTTTTCTCGGCTACCGGCTACAGCTCTGCAGCAACCAAAAAAATTGGGGACGCCGAAATCCCGACAGCGAAAATGCCGACAGTTCAAAATCCCGACAGAAAATCCCTTTAACCAAATCCCGAGATGCTAAATGCCGACAATCAAAATTTCGACAGTTCAAAATCCCGACATCCCAAATACCTGCTTAAAAGGGCCGTAAAATTATGGCCATCGGTATTTTTGCTGTCGGGATTGAAGAGGAAGAGGTGGCGTTGTCGGCATTCTGGCTTTTGGGATTTTGGCTGTCGGTATTATCGCTGTCGGTATTTTGCCGTGGGGGATTTTGGCCTGTCGGGCTTATGGCAATCGGGGTTTTGGCTGTCTGGATCATAGCTATCGGTGTTTTGGCTGTCGGGATTTTGGATTTAGGTACTTTGGTTGTCGGTATTTAGAATTCCCGTAATTTCGATGTCGGTATTAATGGCTGGAATCCTGGAAAGAAACGCCGACACGCACCATTCTACCGATACAACTTTGGCCGCCTTCAAAAACCCGCAGTCCTCCTCGGCGCAGCGGTAGTCGAGTGTGTGCAGCAGGATTGCCAGGCCGGCCTAGACATTCAGAATTCCGGAAATTTCAAAACACAACCTTCTCAATCCCGGCCAGCTCCTCACCACGTAGCATCCTCGGTGTCTGGCAGGTGCAGTGGTGCAACGGGATTTGGGCCTGATTTTGGGGGTTCTAGGGGTTTAAAGGGCCCTGGAAGACAGGAGGCTAGCAGAGATTTTTGGGGGAATTTTTGTGGTATTTAGTAGAGAAATTTGTCCAATCCTTCTTAGGGATTTTTAGTCGAAATTTTGGTTGAAATTCGGGAATTTTTGGCGGAAAAAAATCGATATTTTTTGGGGTCGATTAAAACATTGTAAAGTTAGGAGATTCCTAGGCAACTAGCAGAGATTTTTGCGGAATTTCTATGGCTAGACTTCAGCTTCCGACACCCCGTAAAAACACGAACCTCAACGCAGCCCCGCGATTTTGGAATCGCTTCCAGCAAGGATTGCCCTTTCCCTAAATTCCGATTAATGCGCATTGTAAGAGCTTGGTGCCCGTACGCTGTTGCTCCTCTACCGCCTTGAGCCCGAGCAAGTCGAGCAGCGTCGCGTGCAAATCAAAGGGAGTGATCGGCCGATGACGATTCCTGAAAACACGGCATAGAAACCGCATTTTAGCACCCCGAAATACTCACTCAACTAATCGTCGTTTCGTCGTGCTGCTCGACGCGAAGATGGTCAGAAAGGGGCGGAGCTAGAATGAATGTTTTTTGTGTTTTTAACCGTATTTTTACGGCAAAGTACGAACCGCTCTTTGATTCCCCAAATTCTTCCCCGGTGCGAGCGATAGGAAAATGGAAAATATCGAATTGAAGAAGCGGCCCTCTGCTAGCTTTTGTAGATGATCATACATGTGAGAATCTAAAAAATATGGTGATTTCTTTAGCGATTTCCACCCCAATTTTACATTATTTTAGCTGGAACACTAATCTATAGCTCTTGCTCCTCTATTTTTACCGTGCTCAGCTAAAATACGAATTTTTAGCTACTTCTACGTTATTCATTATCTGTTTTTACCCTATCTTCTTCCCATTTTACCGTATCGCTACCATATCCCTATTAAAAACACGGATTTTCACTTTTTTGCCGTATTCCTACCGTACTCCTCGGCACGGTGCCGGTGAAGCGATACAAAAACGAAACGTCGCTTTTGCAATGCGCGCTGCTCGGCGAGGAAGCGCTCGACACCCTCGAAAAGTAGCTAGAAAACGTCGGTAACCTTCGGAATTCTACCGTACCCGTTGCTGGCATTCTCCCTTGACGCGAAGATGTTCTTGCAGTGGGCGAGTGCCGAATGGAATGACTGGGGGCTCGAAGAGTCCTGAAAAAGCGGAAATAGTGCTAACTCAAAAAGGTTAGGGATTTTCGCAACAACTAGCAGAGTTCATTTGGGAATTTGGTCAGTTGGCGAAGTATTTTGGAGAATTTTTAGGTTAGAAGCTAGCAGAGACCATTTTGGAATTGGGTCAGCTAGCAAAGGCCATTTGGGAGTTCCCAGGAAACTCGAGATAATTTTGGAATCACGCCGGCAGCCAAGAATTTTCGGAATTTTTAGGTTAGGAGCTAGCAGAGATCATTTAGGAATTCCTCTAAGCTAACAGAGATCATTTCAGAATCGGGCCAGCTAGCAGAGAATTTTTGAGAATTTTTAGTGTAGGAGCTGGCAGAGACCATTTTGAAAATGCCTAGCAGCTAACCGAGGTCATTTGTGAATTCTGTAGGCAGCTAGCAGAGATTTTTTAGGAATTCCCTTGCGACTAGCAGAGATTGTTTGATCGTTCAAAGAAATTCACCGGTCTTTGATCGCTTGCGAGCCAGATCCAAAACACCATTTTACAAAGCTTAATTTCTTTGGAAATTATCCTTTATAAAGGACCCGAATCGCGAGGTGGTTGGGAATTATTCAGACCATTACAAAGGTGCGAAACGGAGCGAGAGAGAGAGAGAGAGAGAGAGAGAGAGAGAGAGAAAAGAGAGACAGAGAGAGAGAGAGAGAGAGAGCCAGCTGGAAGTGGGTGTTATGCCCTGCAGGCATAGTACCCATGCCGGGGGTACGGTACCCACCTGCAGTCCGATTGGGATACGCCCCCTACAGCCATTCCTGGGCCCCAACTCCCAGCGTTTATTATCACTCCATTTCCACTACCATCCCCACCATGTATGCAAATTTACCCTGCTCCTCCCCACGCCCGTATTATTACAACCTGGACCCGAGGGTAAGTTTTAAGCTAGTTAACCGGAAAAAGTGAATTCACCTTTGGTGCATTGCTAAAGCTCTCGCTCGCCACCCACAAGACCCGGGTTCGACCCCCGCCTGATGCGAAACTTCTTGCTTTTCACGAAATCATAGGAATAAATTTTAAATGATTTTTTCAGAACATTGTCGCCAAGCTTGACAACACCTACGCGGAAATTGCTGAGGTGGTGGAAGAGCGGAATGAAGCGGAATTTGTGGATGGGCCATACGGTAGGTGAGAGAGAGAGAGAAAGAGAGTGAGAGCGTGAGAGAGCGAGAGAGGGAGAGATGCTTTAACGTGAGGGTCCAAGCAAAACATTTTCAGCGAGTCTCCTCGCTGACCTCGTCTCGACAATGGAACCGGCACGACGCGAAGCCGTTCAGACCCGGATTGAGCGGCTACTGTATTTGAAGAGATCCCAAAAAAGATTGGCCAATTCCCGCCCCACACAGCTTCACCAGGACGCCCTCATTTTTGGTAGTGAGAGAGAGAGAGAGAGAGAGAGAGAGTGAGCAGGAGCTACTGATAGAAGATTTATCTAAAAACTTATTTCCAGGAATGCTAGTCGAACAAAACCTCGCCACGCTCCGTGCTCATTCCAGCGTACTTTACAAACGGGTCAGTCTCTCTCTATCTCTCTCTTCTCTCTCTCTCTCTCACTCTCTCTCTCTCTCTCTGTCTTTCTCTCTCTTTTTCTCTCCATCTTAACCTAAAAATTCTAGGCAACAACGAAAATCACTCGGGCCCTCACTTCCCAAGCATCGCTTCAAAAAGCGGAGAAACGACCCCGGCTAGCTTTGCTGCGAGATAGAGTACGACGGATTTTACGGAAATAATGTGATTATGAAAATTGTGTTTACGGTAGAATAAAGATTGAAATATACCTCGGCCATGTTCAGCAAATGCAGTCGAGTAGCCGGCCAAGGAGAAATTGGCAAAAATTAGAGGGACGAGGTCTTCGAGGTGTTCGGAGGTGGAGGGTGGATCGGTTGCGCTGAAAAAGGAGGAAGTAAAAAAGCGAGAGAGAGAGAGAGAGAGAGAGAGAGAGAGAGAGAGAGAGTGAGAGATGTTTGAAAGCGAACGTTCCTGAAACCCACAAAATATTCGGCAAACTGCTCATATTCCGCCCAGTTAGCAACGGAAGTAGGGATGGCAACGGACCATCCGACGTACGGTGAAAACCTAAAAATACTGTGATCAAAAGCTCGCCCGAAGCAGGCGAGCAGTGGCGATTTGCCGATTTAACCTGGAAAATCGACGACGCCATACTTCTGAAAAAGGCGATGGGTAAGGGGCATTCTCTGCACGATCTGGAACGATGGAAATTGTGGAAATATCTTAAGGCTCACCTCGGAAAATCCCATGCTGGGGAGCAGGTAGATGAGGACGTTCGAGATTGGGTCGATTGGGCCGCTGGAAAGGTCAGACTGTGCGTTTAAGAATGCGGATCTGCCGGCTTCCTCTCACTCTCTCACACTCATTCTCTCTCGCTCTCATTCAGGCCCTCTCTCTCTCTGGCACTCTCTCTCTCTCGCTCTCTCTCCTTTACTTGTCTCTCTCTCTGACCTCATCTCCTTTGGCTTCCGATGCTTAGCATATTCCTTTATTGGTGCTTTCCGTGTCCTCCCCTCCGCGTCTAATTCAGCCAATGCCGTATCCTCCATCTCAATCCCATTCGATATCCATTCATATCCACAAGGCAATCTCCCGTCTCCACCCGCTTTCCGCTTCCGCTTCTCCGGTTTTTCATGGCTTGCCAGGGAATAGGTGCACGTCTAAAAGCGTAAAAATGACAATGCGGAAAATCTACCTGTCCCTCCATTTTCTGGGCCCACTGGGGCTCAATATCCGCATCTTCGTCCGAATTGAAGATAGTGATATTGAATGGTTTCTAGTAAAGGAGGAGTTGGAGAGAGAAACAGATAGAGAGAGAGAGAGAAACAAAATACCGTACCTTTCTAAACTCGCTCACCCACGTCCAGCCCTTCCACAAACTCTTCAAAAGCCCACCGCTTTTTTCGATGATTTTCCTGCGCTTTTGCCGTTTCTAAAAATCCTATAACCTGATTCTTTAAGGCCTGGAAAGCCAAGAATTATATATCATACTTTTTACCGTAGCCCAGTGCTAAATACACCTTTTGTCTATACCCCCATTCAAATCACCGGTTTCCGGGTGGTGACAACATTTTCCTGCTTCTCTGCCCTCTCCGCTTTTTGTCTCCTCTCTTCGAGCAGCTGCTTTTCCTTGTTTTTGATGGCCCGTAGGCCCTCGTCGACGTAGTCTTCTTCTTCTGGGGTGTCCTAAAGGTAAAATAGGTGTTTTCTCTAGCTCTCTCTCCCCATCAGTGTCTCTCACTCGCTCTCTCCCTCTCTCTCGCTCTTTCTCTGTCTCTGTCTTTCTCCATTGCTCTCTCTCCCACTCGCTCTCTCTCTCTCTCTCTCCCTCCGCTAGCCAACACCCATTTCCAACCAGGAAAACACTGACCTGTGAGGAATTCATCGCTCGATGTACAGTATGCTTCCGGCCCCACAGTACCCCTATTAACAGCAACATAAACACCAAGAATAGGATCAAAATCAACGGACACCTCCGTCGACATCGAAGCGCTCCGAGACCCATCAGACGATTTAATGGGGGAACTTAATCAAGACTGCTCCGCAAGACAACCAATTACGATCTCGAGTTGAAGCCCGAGGGCCGGCTTTTCCATTCTTCGCTCCATCTTGATCCGATTTCTGGGGCAGATATGCGGCGACTTTCCGACTTTTACTAGTTGGCTGGTTGGCTTTCGCTAGAGGGCTTCGATTGAGGGAAAACGGGGCCTTAAAGGACTCCGCAAGAAACGAAAAAAGCCAATCCATAACTTACCCGGCGCTTTAAAAGGGGCGGGATGGATTCAAAATTGAATTAAAGATTCATTTCAATCAGAGAGAGCGAGATGGAGAGAGAGACTGAGAAAGAGAGAGAGAGAGAGAGAGAGAGAGAGAGAGAGAGAGCGAGAGAGAGAGAGAAAGAGATATAGAGAGCGAGAAAAAGCGAGATAGAGAGCGAGAGAGAGCGAAATAGAGAGAGCGAGAGAGAGACAAAGAGAGAAAGAGAGAGAGAGACGGCGGCAGCTAGAGATAGAGAGCGCGGGAGGAGAAAGCGATTGGCTATCCATCCAGCGATTGGCATCGGTGTTGCTAAGACGAGCTTCGTCCGTTTTCTAAAACCAAAATTTTTCCCTTATCACCTGACCCATCCCTCCGGGCCATTTTGCCCCTCCAGCGAAGAACCCATGTCTCCCCTTCCCTCCTCTAGTCCCATCACCTGAAGGGCCACCCCGCACATCTTTGTGTGTGTATGCGAGGCGTGACGGTGCAAACAGGAGCAGAACGGACGGGGGGGGGGGGGGAGTTGGGCCCAGAAAAGAACCAGCAACCGGGAGTGGGGCAAAGAATTGCAAAGAAGATAGCGGGGCAGCAGAAGGAGGAGAAGAAGACGAAGAAGACAATCATCTTCCGAACACCGAAGCGGGGTCCTCCTTCTGTCCTGTCCATCGTATCGCATCGTATCGCCTCGCCTTTGCTGACCCCCGAGCACCGCCGTTTTTGGATTTTCGCTTGGGCTTTGGCTTGGCTTGGCTTGGTCTCAAGTACCTACAGTTGTCTTAAGCTCCGGCTTTGGTTTGGCTTAGGTTTAGGCTTAGGCTAGAGCTGGGCTTGGCCTCAAGCTTTTTTATAGGTTTTCTTATGCCTAGGCTCAGGCTTCGAATGAAGCTAAGCGTTTGAGGATGAGAAGCGAAGTGATGACAAAAATTTTCTCTTCCATGCCGTTTTCTAGTCGACATTCTGGTTTCTTAGCTGCTCCGCCACCTTTAAAAACTCCTCGATTTCACAAACCCCCTTGACACCATTCCTTTAATTTCCGTAACGAAATTGAGTTTTAAAGGGGGGCGTAACTAACCAGCTTAAAATCCCAAGAAGGGCTTAAGAAATTCCCTAAGCCGACCCCAGCGTGAACCTCTAGATCCGCGCCGGGGTTAATCGGCCCGGTCTTCCGTTCCAGGTTCCGGGGCACAACACCGGACAGATTATATCGCGCCCTATCTCTGTCTCTCTCCCCTCTCTCTCTCTCTCTCTCTCTCTCTCTCTTTCTCTCTTTCTCGTTCCCTCTCGCTCTCTCTCTCGCAACGCTACCAGTTTTCATTATTTGCCGTCTTCCCCCACCGAATCCGGAACGGCTGTAGGCAACCGGCGAGAGAGACCGGCAGAGTAAGAGAGAAATAGCAGAGAGAAAGATAGAGAGAGATAGAGAGAGAGCGAGAGAGAGAAACCGAGAAAATATTGCCCCCTTTAAGCCGTCAAATATTGACACGAATCATCGCGTCAATCGTGTCTACCATTGTGTGCTGGCGGGGAGTACGGTGGTTGTTCCGCAACGCTACTCTTTACTGTAGCTTGGAATTTCGTAGCACTGTAATTTCCTGAAGGTTAGCAAGATAAACCTAGAAGAGTGAATTTGCGGCATGCCTCTCAATTTCGGAGGTTGTTAGGTTTAACTGGTGCCATGTTTTTGACCGGTAAAAGTGTACTATAACGTCGGTGAGTTCAACGAGTTCAGCGCTCGTCTTACTGGTACAGCTCCTTTAAACGGGCGATTCCCATCAAATCCATAATAATCGTACCTTGTCGGCCCCTTTAAAACTCGCCGCCCAAGGTGTTGCGAGGTGCGCACCGCGCGGGCGCGTTGATGTGAGTGATGGGCGCGGGGTGATGGGGGCCCAGCACACGCACGACAAAGGGCCCACAAATATATCAACACAGTCATAGTAGCGAGAGAGAGAAAGACAGCGAGAGAGAGAGATGAGAGAGACAACGAGAGAGACAGTGAGACAGAGAGACAGACATACAGAGAGAGAGACAGACAGACAGACAGAGAGAGAACGAGAGAGAGAAGTAAGAGAGCGCGAGAGAGAGAGAGAGAGAGAGAGAGAGAGCGAGAGAGAGAGATAGTAAGGAGTGAGAGGCACAAACACACAGCCAACCGAACAAGCCTGAAGACACCCCCGTTTTCGTGTCCGGTCCCTCCCTGAAGACGCGCCAGGGAACAAACACGGCTTCTCCCTGGGTGCTTCTGCTGGTTCACGAAAAGCGTTGTGTCGCGCAGCTTCCTCCTGTGACAAGCCTTGGGCATTTCTTCCCCTCCTTTCGTGCCGGGACCCTATTTCGGGGGGTGTTCTCAAGTGGCTCTTGTTCCGTTCTGTACTATGGACGTGTATTTGCCTACGGTACCCCTTCGTACTTCACACTTCGCGTAACGCGCTGAACTCTATGCAAATTAGGGCTAGCTGCTCTGCGTTAAGCGGCTTCTGAAGTTAATTTGAGGATTATTCGCAACTACTTTTGCTTACGGGAGCTGTGAATTTGTGTTAATTTTATTCCCCCTCTCGCTCTCTCTTCCTCTCTCGCTCTCTCGCCCTCTCAGGCCCACTCTCTCTATCTCGCTCTCTCTCTCTCTCTCTCTCTCTCTCCTCTCTTTCTGTTATCCCCTCTGCGTTAAGCGGCTTCTGAAGTTAATTTGAGGATTATTCGCAACTACTTTTGCTTACGGGAGCTGTGAATTTGTGTTAATTTTATTCCCCCTCTCGCTCTCTCTTCCTCTCTCGCTCTCTCGCCCTCTCAGGCCCACTCTCTCTCTATCTCGCTCTCTCTCTCTCTCTCTCTCTCTCTCTCTCTCTCTCTCTCTCTCTCTCCCTCTCTAGCGCTATCTATTGCTATCTCTCTCTCACTTTCTCTCTCTCTCTCTCTCTCTCTACCTCTCTCTCTGTCTCTCCCTCGCCTTGGTTCTATATCTCGCTCTCTCTCCCTCTCCGAATTTAGTGTCCATTTCACAACTCTTGTAAAACGGAATGAAAAGCGTTTGTTCGTTTGTTCGTTGGCTGGTGCTCCGCGACTCCATTGTTCTGCCCCCACCCCAAATTTGATGAATTTTCACACAAGGGGCGAGAGCGACAGATGAGAGAGTGATAGAGGCAGAGAGGGAGAGAGAGGGGGAAGACAGAGTGATAGAGAGAGGGGTAGAGAAACACCTGGGAGAGAAATTTGATTAGCTAGCGCTCGGCAATCAACAGATGATAAACTATAATACGCGATAATTGAGGGTGTTGATTGCCCAGTGAATTTTCGAGGTTCTTTTCTTTACCAAAAAAAGACCTTTTGTCGCCTAGAAAAATCCGTGTTTCGATCATTACCGTAGCCGGAAAAAGGCAAATTGCATTTAACGGGATGATGACACCGATTTTTCATAATGTACACCCCTGAGATGCAGGATGCGTGCGTAGGAGCGTGGCGTACGGAGCGAAAAAGCGGCCCCGATCCGATATCCACATCCCCATCGCCGATGCCTAAATCCCAAAAAAAGTGACGCCGCGAGGGGTCAGCTGTGTTTTTGGGGGGCGTAATTTGGATGGGAGCGGAGTGATTAGGATTTTTGGATGAGAGAGAGCGAGAGAGAGGGAGTATGAGAGAGGGAGAGAGCGAGAGAGTATGAGAGAGGGAGTGAGAGAAAGACAGAGAAGGAAAGCTATAAAAATTCGACCTTTTTGCAACCATTCCCTAGCTGGCACGCTCCCTTTAATTAATCCTCTCCCCCAACCCCCCTCATTGCCCGCTGAGGCGCATCTAATAAGCGATAGTGCTTGGTGGTTGCTGGGGGGGCAAGCGGTGGTTGTGTGTGGAACGGGTTCTCCCAACCCACCCAAGGCGGCTTCAGCTGCAGCTTCATTGCTCTGCTTCTCTAGCCCAGCTCTCTCTCTCTCTCTCTCTCCCTCTCTCTGCCATGCCATAATTCCCCTTATTACGGAGCCACAAGACCGTGCTCCCCGTGTTTCTTCCTCTACCATGCCCCTGCCCTCCGTGAAATATGCCGCATCCTGATTGATCCCCCCAGCGGAGTCATTCCGGATCTGGGGTGGGCTCCAATTTCGATTTTTGCGGCTTGGCTGGGATTGGAGATGATGTTTTTTGCTTTTCAAGGGATATGGATACCAGAATTTTGTCTACCTCTCTCTCTCTCTCTCTCTCTCTCTCTCTCGCTATAGCTATGGCTCCTTTTCTCTCTCTTTGCTTCATCATATTTTTTTGCATCGAAGCTCAAATGGTCTCTGTTAGCTCGATAGAAATTCTCTCGTCATAAGCCCTTTAATTTTGAATTCTGCCATTATTGCGTTTTCCAAAGTTCCTCCCCAAGAATCTCTGTGAGCTGCCCGCCAATATTCGCCTGTCACCATCCCTTTAAAATGTGTTCCTATTGCCTGCGATTCATGATGAATAGCGAATGTGTTACTTGCGCTCTATTTGGCGGGGATTTGTAGATTCGGACCCGTTACGATCGGATCTTTTGCTCTGTATCTCTCTCTATCTCTCTCACTCTTGTTCTTTGTCTTTACAGTTCCCCCCGGGGGACGCTTCCCAATATGGCGGACCGACATACAAACAAACAGGCCTTCAGCCCGGGGTGGCCGTGCTTTTCCGCCGCTCTGATTCTTGGGTTCTCTTTGGCTCTCTCTCTCTCTCTCTCTCTCTCTCTCTCTCTCTCTCCTAGCACCCAGAGTTTTTGTCTCAAACGCCTCGGACAGCCGCAGACCACCAGCGCGGCAAACACACGATTTCTGCCAACGGCTTCTATTTTTAAAGGGACTGGAACAGGTGCACACACTCTCTCTCGCTCTTTGTGTCTCTC